TTGAAACATACAACATGAATTTTGTAATTGTTCAATCAGTTATTCTTGCCATTTCAAAATTTGAATAAAAAATTGTTAAATTTTTTTGTTATTATAAGAGAAAACGCACACATTCGTACATATACATTGACATTTTTTTCTATAAGCAACAATCTTTATTTTAGTATTTCATTATTATCTTATGATTATGTAAAAAACAACAATATATTGGCATATTTTATTCTATCTTTGCTTTATACTATCTTATACTGCTGCTATTGTTTGACTGTTGTTGTTTTTTGGGATATCACTGCTCATTTTATCAGAATGTATTGTTCAATAATAAAAAGAAGAAAAATTATCCCATTCTTCTTTGTATCACTTCATCATTTTTCTATTTACAAAAGAAGCACAAGAGAAAAATAATCGGGTCCATTGCCTAAAGCTTCAACTGTCTATGACTATGACCTATATTGTACATATATCAGAATGAATTTTTTCTTCTTAAAGCAAAACTTACACACTACATATACATACAACGAAAAAAAAAAAGGGAAAAAAGAAAGCAGACGAGCAGCTATCAGCGACCTGTTGTTTATCGTCATTTACAAAAAAAGCAAGAAAAAAAAATGGACAAATATCCTCAACATCAGTGTGTGTGTGTATATACGTTAGTAAATTCCTTTATGTGATATGTTTTTTTCAAGAAATGAGATGAAAGAGAGAATGAGAGAGAGGAAAAAAGAAATTTGTTGTTCGTTTCTCCTGTTTCACACAGTATCTATAGGATCATATGGACTTTCTATTTTTTTTTTTTTCATTGATGAAATACGGTAAAGAAAAAAAAGAACGAAAGGAGAGATGTAGATGTAAGTTACATTGGCACCAGAAAGCTTTATTTATTAACGCTCGGACATAAAGATCACAATTTATTATTAGAGAAGAAGAATATTTATTCGTCCGCAGCAGTGTGTTTTTTTTTTTTCTTTAAAAAGGACCCAAGGACATTAGACGCGTCGCAGAGCACGTTGTTTTTGAAGAGAAAATGCATGTATCTTTTATTGTAGAAAAACTCTTCATTCTAAATTTTTACCCATTTTCCTTTATTAATATATTAGAAGAAGAAGAAGAAAAAAAAAACGAAGAAAACTATTTTTCTTTCTTATTTTTCAATTTTTTTTTTTATACATTATTCTCTCTACTTCTTCTATCTAACAGAAGAAGAAGACAAAAAAAAAAGAATCTGGGAAGAAAGATTTAGAAAAAAAATACGTACAGATAACAGAACAAATATTTTTTTTCGTTATAATATCATTCAATCTTTCTCAAACAGATACATTCACACATTCGTTTTAATTTATTCAATAACTCTACAAAAACATAATACACATCGTGTTTTTGGACACTTATTAAATTTATAATAAAAAAAAAAATAAAAAAAGAAGATAATAATCCATTCTATAGAACAGAACAAAATAACAGTAAGTTATTCTCTTTTTAGTTTTTATACCAAAATAAAAATTATTATGAGCTATAAACGAACGACAGATTGAATGAATTTTCAAGTCTCTTGAGTGTTCATTCAATCAGTATTTAAGCAAAATTTTTTATTTTTAATGAGTAGTAGAGAGAAAAAAAAATAGAGACGTTTTTTTTTTTTGTTTTCTTTTTAAATAAAGAAGGTGTTACATATCATCGTTTCGTTATTTGAATATTTGAACATTTCTACAATGAGGAGTAGAAAATACACTAGTTTAGATATTATCCATTCCATTAAAATGACTATTTTTAAATTTTAACGTTTATAATACACAGTAAATTTTTCATAATTGACTAATCAATTTGATAAATCTTGACTGTTGCTCAAATTGAGGTTAAGAAGAATTTAGGAAAATAATGTCGGATGAGTGATATGTAAACATCTGGTAGTAGATGATTGATTGAGTTTTCTGTCATCAATATCATTAGAATAACTATAAAAAATATCGAGGTAATCTTTTTTGTTTTTTTCATTGAAAAAATGTGTTAAATAAAACTAAAAGAGAAATTTTATGAAAAATATAATAAGGACACAGTTTAATTAAAACAAAAATCATATTTCAATTTATATATTTTTCTTGCTTAAATAAAGTTGTCATTTTGAAGGATATATTTCAAGATATTAATCCTAATGTAGATTTGTATTGACGATATTGAAAGAAATACTTTTCAAATATTGTTGTTGTTTTTTCGATGGTCTTAGATTAGAAACAATTAAAAAACATATGACTGTTTTTTCTTTTGTTGGAACTCTGATTCACTGTACATATATCAATTCTATTTTATGTTTTATTACTAATTTCAATAAGTATCGTTTATATTTGTGATTATTTCTCATCATTTTTATTATTGTTCATTTAAATAAAGATAGAGTTATTAAATTTCTCTATTATAAGTGTTATGGGAATGAGTGATTAATATGATCAACGTGTACTTATTCTATTTCGAAACGACAATTATTTTCTATACTGTTCTGATTCATTTTATCGTTATAATAACACGCCCTGTATGTCAAAATGTATTCCACATGTTTGATCTCTCAACTGTAAACGATCAAGACAATTTTTTTTTTTTTGTTTTTTTTCATGTTGTTGTTGGATAGTTAAGAAAGAGAGACAATGAGAGAAGAAAAACATTATTTATTTTATTATTCTGATTATTTTTCAAATAACAACAAGAAATGAAAATGATAGCAGACAATGATAATAATGAAGATTGATTGTTTAGATTAGACAAGTTCTCTGTATTTTCTTTTTTTCTTTGATAATGTTGGCTGTTGGTTAAGAAGATGTCCGACGAGATTTTCTTTCTCTCTTCTATCTCAATATGGTCTAAATTAGTTTTACTATAAAATAATAATGACAACGTTTGTACAAACTAAAGGATATATTCAACATAGTGTACATCTATATAGATTTTTTATTTGAGAAAGAGAGAGGCAAAAAGAGAGTTTAGTATGTGTCTACAATCAATATTATTTCGATGATATTCTTTTCTTTCATGACAAGTATTTTAATAAGAACTAGGCATGTTGCATGAAATCAAGTGAGAGTTATGAAGGGCAAAAACCACCATTGTCTTAGATATTTTATTATATAAAGTACTCTTCAAGATCAATCAGTTTCATATTAATATTCTTTTTTTTTAAATATTTCTTCAATATTAATTTGTGTTTTTCTTTTTTTTCGTTTTAGAAATAACATCTTATTTTGTTTTACATTTCATTCAAATATGTTTTCATTTTTAAAGAAAAAGTAAGTATTTTTTTTCTTAAATCATTGTTTATGTCATTTGTTTGTTTATGTTTCTTTTTTTTAGAAAAGTGAGAAAATCGGATAAAAAGGGTGATCATCATGGATTTACAAGTACAAGTAGTGATGATCATCAACAACAACAACAACAACAACAACAACAACATCATCATCATCACCGTGGAGAAAATAAAGAAAATTTAATTGAAACAAATGGAAAACCGATATCTAATAAATCTGATAATGATTCCGGTGGTTTTGATTATTCACAAATAAAACAATATTCGTGTTCCGATGATAATTCGTTTAATGATAGAACACCAATTCGAACATCGTCTCCGTTGATTGATCGAACAAGTGGCGGTGGTATGGGTGGAGGAAAAGGAGGATTAACAACATCTATAGTAACGGATACAGCTACATTATGTGATCAATCAGCAGAAATGCATATTGATATTACAAATGGAAAATGTTGCGATTCAAGTGAACCAAGTCCAAGAGGTATAAAAAACTTTACTTATATCACTCTATGTTTTCATTTTAATTAGAACACGTGATCAATTTGCCAAAAAATAACTACAAATCTCTTAAATCTATCTTCTATAAATAGTTCTTTCTATCAAATTGAAACCACAAGATTTTCAGTCTTCTCGAAGATGAATTACGATTACCATTATCCAACAGTTTTTATGAAACAGATCAACTCTATTTTAATCTATTTTTTTTTATTTAGATTTAACAGATGGTGTTCTACATAGTTGTTTACCACATAAAGTTAGTCGTATAAAATATTATCTTTTGTTTTTTGTTTTTGTGCTGTGATTCCTTATCTATGCTTCTTGCTCGTGCTTTAACTATTTGCTTCTCTCTATCTCTCCGTCTCTCTGTCTCTCTCTGTCTCTCTCTCTCTCTATTTTATTTATATTGCTATTTTGCTATTTCTTATATTTTGTAGGCACCATTCTATTATCATTGTAACTATTCTGCACGACGTCCTAGTTCATCATTTTGTTCACAGTGTTCAAATGAAATGCAAAAGGTGAAGATCTTTCAGATGTTTGAGTCTATATGCCATACATGTACTAGGAAATGCTGTACTTGAGAAAAAAGAAAAAGAAAAAAAGTGGCACATACACACGTGCTTCTAACAAATATTCTGACAGGATAATAAACTATAAAAAAAAAATCTATTATTATCTAAAGAGCATTATTCTCTATTGTTTAATATAAGAGATTGTCCTAGAACTGTACAAAAATCTGCTTTCAATCATTTTTCAATGTTTTTTTTGTATGCTTGCTTCTATTTTCTACTTTTTTTTTTCTTAGTCTTCTCACCTTGAAGTAAGAAATATGTGACAAAAACCTATAATATACACTCTATCATTATTATTAACGGACCATTAATTGAATGAATGAGTGAGAAGTGTGACAGGATGCATATACGTGTATAATTTTTAATCGACTAAATAAAAAATAAAAAAATAATGTTCTAAATGATAGCGTGACCATCTCATTCAAAAACTATCTTCATATATTGAATTGATTGCTTTTTTTAAACTATTATTATTATTTATTTCATACAATAAAAATGTTAATATATTTAATTGAATAAAACTTATTTACTGATTATGATCAAAGTAGCGCGCAACCTATTTTTATTGTTTGTTTCGTTGAAAGTGAGAATCTCAAATATTAATTTTTTTTTTCATGTATTATATGTGCGTGTGTGTGTGTGTATGTGAAAATGATAAGAAAAAATTGTTTGAGGATAAAATTATCAAGAGAATTAAATTAAAACTAAAATCCATTAGGTATAAAAGAAACAGACGAGACTATTAAACCAGACTTTTTAACGGTGTTGAATTCACGTTTCGCAAAACACATCGACAAAAAAATTAATCCAAAGTTTCACACATTTTATCGTTAACGTTTTAGTGATATTGGTGTGAAAATATGAGAAAGGGCTCTCTTGTGGCTCTATCTTTTACCAAAAAAAAAAGAGAAAAACCTATAACAGTAGTCTTATAACATATGAGATTTTAATCACACTCTCGTTCAATATTAGGTTGTCGTAATAGTCAATCAATCAGTATTAAACATATCGTCAAATCAATTGAGTTAAAGCAAAATCCTTGATCTTTTCATTGTTCAAGATCATATTATATCGTTTAGTTTAATTGTTTTTCTTTCTGTTCGCTATTATCATTCAATTGTCTAAAACTGATTATTATCATCAATCCAAGTATCTCTCTCTTTCTCTCTTTCTCTCTCTCTTATTTCAGTTAATGATCAATCTAATTTAAGTTTTCTGTATTATGAGATTAATAATAGTGAGAAATACGAGAATATAAACATATTTCATTAAATTTTTTGTCAGTTAACTGATGATTATTCTTTAATCATTTTGCTTGTCAAAGTCTACATTATTTATAATAATGATAAATAATAATATGTTTAAATATCACTCTGTCAGCAAGAATAATTACATAATAGATCATGAGTTTAGAGATGTTTTAATTAACATATTATAATTTTTGAAGTATATCGAATATTCTTATTCTAGAAAAAAAGTTCACATTAAATTAGGTATCTCTTAATTTTTTATATATGTCAACACTATATATCCGTAACAAAAAAAAACAACAACAAAAAATGCTTGATTAATTGATTTATATGCATCCAAATTTTTGCATGCTTATGCTATGCATAGATTTTGATTCATAATCTTTAAGTATTAATGCACGCGCATTCATCCAACGATCTTTTATAAATCGAAAAAAGATAAAAATCTATTTGAGTTGAAGTAAAAAAGAGATTACTTAATACATTTTAACATTTAAATCGATTGTTAATCTTGTTTATTTTAGAGTTGTCTAAGTGGTGGCTATACAACTAGTCAGATAAGTGGCAATGATTTAAATCGGGTGCTAACGTCAGGATATATTAATGGTGAAGAAAATATGGGCTATTTAAGACGATGTGTTGATCATAAAACTCCACAATCGCCACATTTTCATCGACCAAGTAAGTTAATTTAATTGAACAATGATATTTTTAAGCGAGAAGAAGGAAGGAACTGGGCAAAATTAGTCACTCATTCTTCTGTAAACTGTTGCTAAACAAAATAGATTGAGAGAATATGATAAAATTTACGTATAAAAATAATCATCTTTCGACTTAATTCTTATAAATCTTTCGACAATTGATTAAAATATGAAATGTCATGATCTTCGATTTTATGAGTTGAAAATCATTTATTATATAGTCTATGAATAAATGAATGAAATTGTTTCCAGCAGATCGAATCGAATATCTTAATTTTTCTTCTAGAAATCAGTTCAGCTATTGTTTAATCGTATTTTATGTTCGCCTCATTTCATTTGTAAGAAAAGAGTTCTATTTATTATCCGAAAAGTGTGTTGTATATATATATATATATAAGTGTCTATATGTGTATACATATTGGAAAATGAGAAATGGTACATGACATTGATCATAATAGACTATTTTCAACAAGTGTTCTTCTACTGATAAAATCAATAATAATACGCGAATATATATAATCTTTTAATATCTCTTCTCTTTTCTGATGTCAGTTACTTGACTGTGCAATTTAAAAAGACAGACAAAAAGAAAGAAAGAAAGAGAGAGAGAGAAAGAGTTGTCTTTGAGATCTCTTTTCGCTTTATGTTCACATGATACAGTTAATGATAAGTTAATTATGTGTATATGAGACAATAGAATTGTATTTTTAAAAGTTAAATTAACGTTTTACAATAATAATATCATTAACAGAGAATCGACTCTTTTATAATGAAAAAGTAGTGTACCTACTTATGTATTTAAGTCATTGATGACTCCATGTTAAATGGTTTTCTTGGCTGTTATAGAAATTTTCTTTATTTGATTTTCAATCTATACACATTGTACATACGAACTTGATTTACATACGGTAAATAAAAAATAAAGTGTGATCATGTTCTTCTTTTTCTCTGCTAAAGAGACTACTAGCACAATTTTTCTAATTTTAATGAATCAATAATAAACTGTGATTGTTTTTATATGGTGAAACTATATAATTATCGACTGAAATTTTGTTAAACAGAATTTATTTCACCATATTCTGTCTTTCTCATCCTCACCATTTTTCCATCAAATGTTCATCAATTTCTGCTTGATAAACAGAATTTTCTTTTAATTATTTGTACATATGTCAACTCGTATTTAATTTAGAATTAGTGAGGATGACATTGATTGTATGTGTGTGTGCCCTTCGGCACAAATGACGGAAATCGATATCAACAATAGACTGATCCGTTATGAGTTAATGGGTTTGAACCCAACAATCAATTAACAAATTTCCTGTTAAACTAAGACAAGGGAGAGAGGAGAATAAAGAAATATTGATACAAAAAAAGAAGAAAGTAGCAGAGACGCCGCATCGATGTTAGACACAACGTGCTTGTCATTTCCTATTCAATATCCGTTCTTGTGACCATCATACAAGCTAATTTTTGGTTTTGAAGATATAGAAGAGACATGGAAAGAGAAAGAGAGAAAAAGAGATTTATCCACTTGTATAATTGTTCATTTTTTTTTCTTGTTTCTCTGGGACACGGATGTCTGTTGTTTTTTCTTGTTGTTGTGTAATGAAGCATACATTGCTTCTTTATTGAATATAATTATATAATCGAACATACATACATACATACATACATACCGATTTGTTTCGGTCTAAATCACTACAGCTACTACTGTAACAATACATGATATAAAGGCCTACACTTGCTGCATGAAAAACAAACCTAAATTGACAATGAAAAAAGGAGCACGTAAATGAGAATGCATGTGATTGAGTAATCTTTCGCACTACTTGCTCACTGATAATGATTGATGAAACAAATATTTCAACACCAACAATAAAATCCATCGTTTTCTTACATATCAAACAGTAAGATACTGAGTTTCAAAACAAAATTGTTGTTTGAATTGATGTTTAGAAGAGATGAAAAATTGTTTAAAGATAAAATAGATATCATATATTGTCAATAGTTTGATAGAATACATCAATTTTTGTTTTTCTAATAAAACTTGAATGTTCCTAAAAGTTTCACAGTAGAAGATTTTTTAATGAAACAGGAGAACTTCAAGTCAAAAATGAAAATTAAGATTGAAATTTTTTTTCTTCTATTATGAAAACTGAAATTATGAAATAACTCTTTATCCTTGTTGAATAATTCTAAAGTCAACAGAATGTGATCAGAATCATGTGAATGAATTATGTTGAACCAGAAAAAATTTTCCTTAACATTCGTTCAATCAACATTCTTACTGACATTTTTTCTATTAAAAAAACAGAAAAAGAACGGCAAGAATTTCTTCTTTTTTCATATTTTCATTAATCCCATCAGATGTAAAATCAACACATATATATATATATATACACATACGAAAAAGATGATTATCCAGCTGATGTATACGTTAAAAGAACTAAGAATAGCTAATGATACTTTGAGATGACAGTTTACAATAATAATAAAACTAGAGAAAAGAAAAAAACTAATACTTGAGAATATATACATTGTGTTGGATAGTGAGTTAGTGAGTGAGTGAGTAACAGAGAGAAAAAGAGAAAATGCTTTTCCTTATCTTTAATACGAAATATAGATGTTTCAGGGTTTTATTATTGAACATACAAAAATTTTTTTTCTATACTTGTGCTGTCTGACCTTGAACAAAAAAGAAAAAACGAACATGCACGCGTGGAGACCTTGGTGTAAGAGTAATTCTCAAAGAATGATTTGGTGATAAGAGTTAGATTTTTGAAATATAATAGAAAGAATCGAAATAAAGAAGAAGAAAAAAAAAAATCATGCAAGAGATATCCAATTTGGAATAAGAACTAGGAAATAAAAGAAAAAAAAAAAATTAATAATGAAAAAATTTTCCTCTGCGTTGCACACACTCAAAGAATCAAAATAAAGGATCACTTTTTAATAATAATGGTGACATTACAGGAAAATTTCAGACAATCAAATGGTGATTTCAAACTAAAAGAAATGGGTGAGATATTTTATCGTTTTTTACATGTTTTTCATTATAGTTCACGTTTTAATAATTAATAATTTTACAAACGTACACAGAAAGTGACATACACTTTAGAATGAAAATAAAAAACGATTAGAGTTTCAATATACAAATAAAAATAGAAGAGAGAGTTTTGTTTTTTGGTTTTTAAACCTTTTGCATTTGAGAAATGGGATTAATTGTACATATGTTATATAAAAAATCAGAGTGTATGTCTTTTTAATTCGTTTAACTGCTAGTTTAAAGCTTAACAGGTTTCTTTTTCTATACTTTTCAAGTGGTGCACTTTAAATATTATGAAACGAGAAATAAATGAACATTCGTTAAGCTGAACTTGAACAGAATGAAAACGTTATTTAAGAGGCTTAAATAGTCGAGTTATATATATATATATGTCTTCTTCATCTTCATGCTGTTTTTTGAACATGTGTTAAAACTATTGTTATATAGAGAAATTTTTCTATCCATTTTTAACAATAGAAAGCAAGAGAGAATCTGTTTTACATAAATAGATACCTTATCGTTAATATGGTCAATAAAGAAAGAAATCATTCGTTCCTGTTTATATATAGTAAATAATATATATATATATATATATATATATATATACATATTTATTATGTCATTGTTCATATAGCCGATCATTTTATTATTATTATTTCTTGATATCTGGTATATATTTAGTGAAAATTTCTCTTATGTACTTACTTATACCCCTTAAACAGTTTATAACGTGATCTAGACAATCAGATTATAGCTCAAATGTATTCACTTGATCTTTTAAATGAAAAACAGATGAAGAAGTCAAACAGTTGACGGTGTGTGTTTATGTATGCCAATAGAAATGAAATGTGAGCAATTTTCAGGGAGATAGAAGTTAACACTATTTGTTTAATAGGGAACGGACTTTACATACATTTTGTTACGTAACAATTTTTCAAGAAAATAGAGGAACTAACACTATAAAATAGTATTATTACACACACTGAGGCACTTTCATTTTTTCATTGCGTCTTTCTGCACGAGTACCTACTGTTTGAATATTGTGTTGATGTATTAATAAATCAGTACGATTTCATTTTAAGCTCAAATAAAGATATTAGTTTAAAGCGTATATTTCACTCCAGGGAGGGATAATAAACAAGAAAAATATTTTTGGCTTGTTAATTTCAAAAGTGTATATTGACGATGTAGATAAATGGCTGTGTGCACATTCTTACGTTTTTTTCTGTTACTTTTAGTCGGATTCAGTTATAACAGATCACAAGTGTTTTCCGTGCCTGGCCAGAAAAAGGGTAAGACTTCTAGTTTCTCTTTTTTATTCTACTGATAGATGGTTTCTTATTTTTTATTTAGGAATGAAAGCATTGGTGACCGGTATGAATTGGTATTAGTTGACTTTCGTTCGAATGCAATATCAATTTGAATTTTTTTCACAGGTCAATGTCAAAAAATTCGAAAAATAAGAAAATCTGATTCACCTCAACATCCACCATCTTCTGCAACAGACTTAAAAAATGAAGAACCAATTTTATTATCTCGTTATTCGGGCGGCTATGTCCCAGATCCAAATGCACCAAAGAAAATCGAAGGACTCGATTGGCCTGGACCAGTCGCCATACAAGCAATGCCAGAATGTATGTAAAAGAATAGTAATTCGGTTTTGATACGTAGAGATGAACGAATATTAAATGTTTGTTATTATTTTATATTTTAGTAATGAAATCTCATCGTAGTAGAAGTGAATCTCGAACAACCGATAAATCTCATCATCATCTTCGTACACATAATAATAGTCATAGTCAATGTTCACATGAACCAAACACCGATGATATTATAAATATGCAACATGATGATGATGATACGACAATAACAACCAATACAATTAACGGCGGCGACGAATTTGAGAATGGAGATGACGATTACGATGAAACAGATAATGTCGATGAAAATGACATTCGACGAGATCTAAAATTAGAAAAAGATATTAAAATTATGTCTAAATTAAAAGATTCATCATGGATGGCACATGCCGTACTAGAAGATTTAAAAAATCAAGAAAAATTCATGTCAAAACAATTACCACTCGATCCATGGAAATCTTCGCGATCACCATCAGCTGCTGTTGAACCACCGAGAAAAACACGTTATGATTCACCAAAATTTGCCTCGCCGTCTCGCGTACATACACATTCGTCAAACGATGAAAGTCTTCTTCTATCACCAACAGTTTCATCATCGGTGGTCGGTGGTGGAAGTAAACGGATTACATTACCACGTTGTCACGGTAATAAAATGCAGAAAAAATTAACAGTTTTCTTTTTTATTTTATTTCTAAATATTTCTAGAACCGATTAAATATGATCTATTACGTCATACACCAGGTTAGATAATGACGCTATGCGTGTGTGTGTATAACTATCTATCTCTTAATTTCTCTAACACACACAGCACATAATGAGAAAGTTGAACAAGACACAAAGTTCTCCTCATTAGAAAAGAAGATGATCAATCAGTTACAATTTCGACTTTAAACAACGAATTAAAGGTGTTTATCCACTTTTTTGCGAAATATTTGAGATAACTACATGAAAAATTCGCAAAAAACACAGTTTTTGAAAACCAGTAGTAATTTACCTAGTAATGAAAAAAATAAGCAGTTTGTTTAAAAGAATAGTGAATGTGATATTTCATGTTAATTGGCTTTTGAATAAAAATAACCTCAGAAAAAAAATTCCTCTATAAGTTTCGCATGACTTTTGATTTTCCCTAGAACTGATTGTTGTTTTGAACAACTGGTAGATGTCAAGCACTTTAGAAAATCACACAAAGACGTCTCATTGTAGTCGAATTGGCTTTTTTTTAAATGCTTTATCGTTCTTATAGCAAATTTAGTTGTTTTTTCAAAGAACGTATGATATTCTGTGTTCAGCAACGTTTATTCTTCTGTTTTAGTTTTGAGGCCTGGATATGGTTTGTCTCCGTCAGCGAAAGCGCAAACATTACCAACTGGACTAGTATGTGTGTTTGTTTCGCGATAAATACTTGATGTTATCATATACTATTATTTATAGGTAATGCAACGAAGTTGTGATATGGATAGTACAGATTTAGGCACCAGTTCATATTATTCAACTGAAGATCATAATAAATCAGCTAAAGTCAATAATAAGCACAAAATAGTAGTTCATTTCTTTATATCAGAGTATTAATTGTTTTTTTTAGACAGTCGATGTTGGTTTAGCCGATGGAAGTTACACACAACAATATCTTGATTCTAGACATGCACATTCTACACGTTCAGCTCCAAATTTAGTTGGAAATCCAAAAGTAAGTTTTTGCTTATTTAATGTACTCAATATTTAATGGTTTCTTTTTCAAGGTTTATCCATATGAAGAACTAAAAGTGATGACAAAAAAACGTTTACCAGTCGATGTTGACCGAGATAGGTTGGAAGTATGTAAATCTCACCTAGCGACTAATGATTGTTATGTAACAAAATTCCTTATTATTTATTTGCAGCGTCATTTATCCGATAATGAATTCCATACACTATTTCGAATGTCTCGAAACGCTTTTTATGCATTGCCTGAATGGCGTCGAATTGAAATAAAAAAACGTTTAAAATTATTCTAAATACGCATTTTATTTGTTTTTTTTTCCTTGTATAAATAATCATTCTTTTCAATTTTACACGTTTCGTGTGTCTGAGTGTGTTAGGCTTTAACGGCTGGTACCGTCAATAGAGAATGATATTTTTATTTCATAAGAAGATGCTTCGCGTGAACAGAACACACATCATTAGAAGAAAGCTTTTTGTCAGATTAGAAATCTCTCTCACATACAGAAAAACATTTTTTTGCCTCGATTTCCTTTTTTTCTATACAGTGATCTTTCTCTCTCTCTGTTTTGATAATAATTATCTCATCGTTTCTGTTTTTGAACCAAAGGCTAAACATGCGTTCGTTTTTTTTCATTTATTTGAGATGATAGCTTCTTCTATTTGATGTTACTGCTTTCAGATGTAAAACGATTTGTTTTTTTCTGGTTTTTCTGCTTTGTTTTTTTCCGTAAAGATTTTAACCCTTTTTTCTTGCGTGTATAACGACATGTGTGGCTTTTTCTTTTTTTGTATAAGTAAACCAACCAAAGCGATAAGCTTTTTACGGTTTTTGTTGTTGTTTTCATTTTGGAAGTGAAAGAATCAGGTGAGAAACAATAGTTAAATTGACACGATTATGGGCGGTTATGCACACATAGTAATCTTTGCGTCATATTTATAGGAATACGCATGCATTTTAACTAGTGCATATTAACGCGATGTTATAACGATCAATGATAAAAAAGTAAAATGTGGTCATAGTGAATTTCTTAAAATTTCTCATTTCTGCAAAATCCAAAATTATTCCTATGATCATATTTTCTCATCTTTCCAACAATCTTCACTTCTGTTCGATTATTTCGCAGCTTTTCTTTCAACTTTCGGCGTATAAAATCTATTGGCGCAATCTTCTACTGATTTTTTGCCGATGAAAATATTTTTAAATAATTAACCCGTACAACAGCGTTAAATTCTGAATGAAATGTATAGTTCTGTGCAATATTACGTTAAAGAGTTATACAGCGAACGCTTGCATAAAAGCGGCTAAATAATAGAACAGAAGTGAAAAAGACTATTGGAGAGGTGAGAAAATACGATCATAGGAATAATTTTGGATGAAAAAATGAGAAAGTTTAAGAACATTTTCAGAAACCTGGAAGGTTTGACTGGAAACCTGTCATTAATTCAAACAAGGTTCACATGTGACTTTAACTAGTGGCATAATTAGCACATTTTTAATTGTTTGTACTATAGGGACAACAATAAATAGAACTTTTTAAAATACTGAATGATCCTCATAACACCAACTACAGAAAAGTTTAATCTATTCTTTAAAACGTATATATAATGTGGATTTCTGCAAATTATCGTTACACGCTTTTCAATTGAATGATTTGTTGATCTGTAAGTCGTGGTTTATAATTGTTCTTTATTTTGGTATTATCAGTTCAATAGTACTCGATATTTTTCCTCTAGCCCTGGAGTATCATGAATTTAGAAATTATATAAGCACTTTGTGTGTCGATTCTAATCTCTGAATATGATGTTTGCCCTTAGATACAGTAGGCATTAATATTTCATCAGATGAATAAAATGGTGAAAGCAAAAAGTAAAAGAAAGTAAACAAAACGCTTTTGAAGAAGAATCATCATTTAGATCACCAATAACCATAGTCTGATAAATAAGCTGTTTATGTTATGTTATTGATGTGGTGGTAATATAACTGATCCTTTCTTTGGATGTCCAGCTAAGCTTGAAGTTATCTTTCAACAGTTTCACACTGTTCAGTCATTTTCACTTTACATTCGCGATGTCTAGGATCTCAATCTTTACTATGCCGAAACTAAAATTTTAGTTCGAAATCCAACTGCATCTTAACATAGACCATAATGTTTCGAGGATCATATCTATTTTCATTTGACAATCACAGTTAATAAAATTATAAATTGAACTTAAAACGGATGTATGTGGTCTGGAAATTTTTTTTTGAATTCAATGACATAATTGTGCAAACAACTAAGTAGTTCATATTATATGTCATTTGTTTCGTTGAAAGGCATATTTACTTAGAAGGAAAAAAAATGTTATTTGCTGTGTATATACACACTTGGAACTTTCGATTGATAGCTAAACGATGATGCCATTTTTTAATAAATTCTCTCGTTCAAACATTTTCCATAAAAAAGATTGACAAAATCATTTTCTTTTCTATTCGACACTCATATAAGAACAGACTTATTGTCAAATATTGTACATTTTTATACCTTTATATCATATTAAGAAAATATTTTATTCTTATTCAATCTTTTTCACAGAATATCAAGTCACGTATTTGTTGATAATTACTCTGTTGTCGAAATGTCTCTTGACTTTGCCTTCAGGCTACCTTTTACGATATAGAGTTTTCTCTATTTTTTTCCAAATGGTATATGACAGTGAGCTCATTAAGAAAAAGACAAAAAGGAAATTGACTTTAACCTTTTGTATTAATACGCTTCATTAATACGACATTTTGTAATTCGCAAGGTTGAAGGCAAAAAACTTGATGTGAGAACTTTAAGGATTGACGATTCTATTGCATGTATTCAACAGCTTATGCTTTTCCACTCGATTAACTAATTTTTCATCTGTACAGCATTAGACACTCTAAAAAATAATGTGCTACATGTGTTCCAAACGGCGACACAGTAGTCTACGACACAGGAATGGGTTTGTGACACATTGTAAAAATTGTCCAAAGTTCATTTTTTCCCCTATTTTTAAGTTTTTTTAGAAACCGCTTTGAGTGGTCTGTGGACCGGTGAAAAAAAGTCTCCTATTTCGTGCACTTTTCTTGCTTTGGAAAAATGCAATTGATTGGAGGAATTTCTACAGAAATAGAGTTGTAAATCCAGATTCTCAAATTTGTTTCTCTTCAGTTGTGGATTCTTCCTATCATTACTGAGGTATTTGCAAAAAAGCGCTCTCTGTAATGTAGAATACGAGATATCTCAGTAACGGTAGGAAGAATCCACAAAACAAAAACAGATTTCGGAATCTTGATCTACAGCTTTATTTCTGTAGAACTTTCATCCAATCAATTGCGTTTTTCCAACGCACGAAATAAGAGACTTTTTTCGCCGATCCAAAGACTAGAGAAGCTGCATGCTCTGAGTCTCTGAGTCAAAGAGAAAACTTTTTGTCGTCTTAAAGTGTTGTGTTTCTAGCTCATCAAAAACGACGTTACATGTTTGGAAGTCTAGCCCTATTATTGTATCAGTCATAGTTTCTCCAAAACACAAAGGACTAACCATCTGACAGTGATGTGATTTGTAGCTAATATACTAGTAAAACAAAATTTTCTTCACCATCCGTTAACTGGAATCAAAATTGAAAATTGAAGTTGTTTACGAGTGTTCCTACCTCTTTTATTTTCAGAATTTCCATTTTCGAGTTAGATGTGGTACAGTATACAGTTAAGTGTCCTCTATATAATGAGATGCCTCTCCACTCTCTATGATGTTTCCTTTCCGAGTTATGCATTTTTTAAGATGGGCCACCGGAAATTTAAATCCATCATGTTGATGCTGGATCTCCAGTAGCCCATCTTAAAAAATGCATAACTCGGAAAGGAAACATCATAGAGAGTGGAGAGGCGTCTCATTATATAGAGGACACTTAACTGTATACTGTACCACATCTAACTCGAAAATGGAAATTTTGAAAAAAAAGAGCGAGGAATACTCGTAAACAAATTCACTTTTGTATTTAAGATCACAGAGAAGGAAAACCGTTTTTACAAGTTTGAACAGCCTTGTGTATCAGTTATTTTTATATGTAGTAACATTCAAAAATAGCCGTAAATGGCCGTAACCTGACGTAATTTGGCCGTAATCCTATACTCCGTAACAGTGCAGTCGTAAACAACCTTTTACGACCGTAGTGGATCTGTATATGCGCGTTTACAGTGACAGTATTACGGAAATCGATTTGATGGCCGTTTACGGGCCGTGTTGAATCATCTTGGTATATCTAGACGATTCACTGATCTGTAGATCTTCCAGTATCTGATATGTATTCGACACTGTCTCGTATCTATGGTAAATTTTTAAAGTCTAAACTAATGTAACGTAAATTATGAAGAAAATTTTTTAGACGGCTAATCGCTAATACAGACCTCTTCTTAGAATCTAACCGTGCGTACCTTTATATATTTTCAAGAAAAAAGGATATGGTTTTTTTAGAAAATAAAATAATTTTTCTGTATAATATATCCTTCTTTAAAAACAATAAATCTTTTTTTAACATGCTATATATCAGTCGTAGATAAGAAAAATTTTCGAGATTAGTTTTGCATATCTAATTCATGCACAATTGATCACTTGTTACTTTTGCACTAAATTTTCTATATGGAATGACTTTTATGTTTTTTCTGGATCATTTATGATTTTATCCTTCATTAAATGAATATAAACAAAGGTATCCACAGTTAGATTGGAAGAAGAGGTCTATATTCTCATTCTACAGAGAAGCATTTCATATCTGAAGAAACTTTAGAGAATAACTATAGTCTGAGGTGATCTATAAAATGGCAATCTCAAAAAGACTTCATTTTTAATTATTTTTGATATTTCTAAGGCGGAACTTCAGCAATACTCTCAAGAAACACCTAGGGGCAATAACGAATATCAAATCAGTGATCAGCGCCGTTGATAGTATCGTGTTTTCCATACAAAAAAACGATTAGCTGTCTAAACATTTTTTTTCGTGAATATAATATTAGAGTCGAAAGTGGCGTACAAAACCAACTGAAGTATTTTGACGAATGAAAAAAAAATAGATCCAAGATTATCTTTATGCTATAGATCTGTTGTAAAAATTGCTGCCTAATAGATCATGTCCTTTCCATTGAAACTCTTCCTCGACTAAAACATAGTTGATAAAAAAATGATTCTGAGAGGAACAGAGTGAACAAAAAATAGCGAATTGTAGAACTCAACGAAAACAGTCAGTCGCTAATCCTACATATAATGAAAGTCAGAGTCTTGAAACTGAATTTTGCTCCTCGGTTGTGTTGCTGATATCAGATTTGTTTGCAAATGAACCCTTTTCCATGATGCTTATTCTCAAGTCATCACAAAATATTATAAACCAAAAATAATTATTTTCTAAAAACGGGTCTACGAAAGATGCGCACGACAAAAGTCGGACACAGAATGATGCGCATGGAAACTTGCGCACAGCGAATGTTACGCACGGGTAGGTTGCGTACATATTATAAAATTCTTGTTTATGCTTCAGAGGATAATAAATAAACAAAGGAACAAGAAATAGAATAGTAGTTATTGTCTGTTAAAAAACTTAAGCACGTTACTATGGGTTTTCCGAACTGGAAAATCTGTTAACAAAAATACGCGTCTTCGATTTTTTCAATCTTTTAATCACGTTTATCAGATAACATTCATCATATCCTGAGGTTTCCAACTCGTTCTGATGTTTTTTGAGTGAACAGAGAATATTTTAATATCAAGTGAAGACAGTTTAGAAACTCAAATTCTGATAAAGCTCCGTTTTCACCCCATTTTTGAATTATTTTCTCAAAACAAACATTGCTATCAGATTCAACATGGACAATTACGCATGTTTCATCCAATCTCAAGACTAATTGAAACACTGGATACCAGTCCTAAGGAAATTGGATACTAGGCCCGAATCACTGAAAATTAGGATCTCGCTTGAGAACACTTTGGATTATCTGTTCATGAACAAAACTGAAAGTATTCGTACGTGAAGTTTTTGAGCTATGAGTTGGTTTTCTGAAGATCCCTTTAAAATCTTACTGTAAGAGCATATTTTCGAATTAATATCTGTTATAAAAATGTACTCCAAAGTCTCTTCTTTTGAATGGTGAAAATCCAAACTCTCTACCATATTTCTTCCTCAAGATATTTAAAAAGTAGTCGCGTGCCTTATTTTTTTAAGATACAATAATTACTATTCTGTTACCTGTTCCTTTGTTTATTTATTATCCTTTGAAGTATAAATAAGGATTTTATATTTCGTGTGCAACCTACTCGTGCGTAACATTCGCTGTGCGCATCTTTCGGGATCCCCAAAAACATTAATCTTTGAAAAAGTCACCGTATTTTCGCACTAACGAGGAAACATCCTAAGATGCCGGACTCAGTTTTGACTCATTTATACCTCAATCGATAGAGCATGTCGAGATGGTTATAAGCCTAAAAGGGTTCGTGCCCATGACTCTTCCGTCAATATCAGACGAAATGAATGAATTGTTTGTTGTTCATATTTATCTCAAAAATGAATGTGACATAATTAAAGATTTAAAATTGCGAAGAAAAAGAAGTATTAGTAAATGCTACTATTTAGCGTTACAATTTAGAATTGTTTTGTACCGTAAAACAAAGTACAAAGTCGCTTCAAGCAACATATCCGAAACGTCAAGAGGACGAATAAATACCAAAGTATTAATGAAATTATTGACGAAGAACATCAGAAGCGTTCTGCATGTTTCAGCATTTATGAAATTCCCAAATTTCGATACACAAAACGGTTCAAACATCTCAAAAACACGTTGAAGTTCGTCGTATTTCTCTAAGTTGTGTGAGATAGAACTATCACTCGAAACAATCGTTAATTTCTGTGATACAGGCCACTTATTAGAATATTATAACACAATAGCAAAAATGAAAACGCTGAAGCTAATACAGGTTCGAAAGGGTATTTAACAAATTTATGATTTCAAAGTAGATCTACCATATGTCCTTATTGGCAGGGATTGATCGCGTTATTTCATTTCATCATTTATGGGTGCGTATTACGAAGTTTTGATCCTCAATCAGATCAAAGATTTTTCTTATTTACTGTATGATTTGATTGTTAAACACCTACTGGAAACTGATTCTTGGAGTGAAGCTGGGTCACCGGAGAATAGTATTATAATGTATATCCTGGACTAACTTTTCCGCAATGATCAACAGACTATTTATAAAACCCACACAAACACTGACCTTTTGAAATGCTTTTTTTGTGTTTACTTGTGTATTTTTTTCTGTTTCTCATCCTACACCGGAAACGGTAACGGGTCTAACTAACTAACTGCTTTTAGGACGTGATTTTGTATGGGAATTAACATGTACGAATGATGTATGTTAACAATCGAAAATATTATGATTTTTAGTCGCCCAAAACAATAATAAGGCGTAATTAAAATAAAGATACTTTTTCTCTTCGATTTTCGGCGGAATACTAACTTTGTAGTTGTTCTCTATTATTGTTATTTTCTCGATATTGTCCGGTCCAAAACGTTATCTCATTGTTTTATCATAGCATCTATACTTGTTTTGATAAAATTATGCAAAGAGAGAAAAAACATCAGTTTCTGTTTCTAGAACTGCTGTTAAACTAAACGATTTTTACCCCATTTGAACGAAAGCAATTGAGGTGTCTTATTAGAACTTTTTAATACTTTATAAGCAAGAAGCTGCCTAATTCTAAATATCTTTTATTGTGTGCTATATTCACGAATTAATTTTCAACAATAAACATAAACAATTTTAATGAAGAACAACAACATCAACAACAACAATAATAAATAAGTATACTAAATACAAACAGAAAGTGAAATTAACAACACCATCCACTACTTTTCGATGTTTCTTTTCCATTCATACCATGCGCCATTTTTACCATCTCATTTAACGAATCTTTTCCACTTTTAATACTTGTTTCTTTATCAATAAGTGCTTGAGCACATGCCATAAATGCTAGTTCAACATTTTGTCCTGTTTTTGCGCTTGTTTCCAAAAAACTAACTTCGAAATCTCTAGCCAAACGTTCCCCAGCCTCTTTAGATACCACACGCTGTGATTTATCAATTTTATTTCCAATTAACATTATGATTACATCATCGTGCGCAAATTCCTTTATTTCACTTAACCAAACGCTTATATTTTCAAATGATGAATAACTTGTGACATCATAAAGTAACAATAAGGCGTGGGCATCACGATAATATGAATGTGTAACACTACGAAATCGTTCTTGACCAGCCTAAATATAGGTTATAGTTAATACTTTTTATTTTCTTCAACACTTCAAGAAAATTTATGGTGTTATTACTTTCAATCTCCTGTTTATGCTCTTAAACAACTAGGCCGTACCATTTTTTGTTTTATTCTTTTTAATTGCAGACTTGTTTTCAAGGATAAATGAATCTATTAGAAATTATTATAATGTTGAAAGAAACTTTATTTTTCAAGTAAAAATAATCCAAAAGGAGACACTTATGTTTGAAAGTCTTATAAGGAGAATTATAACAGTCATATGAACTTGGAAATTTGAATAGTCTTAAAGTACCTTGTTACCATTACTTTTGTAATATTGAATTGTATCCTAATTGCTAAAACCCACATAATCTCATAAAATTCTACTTACCGTATCAAATATTTGCAATTTAATCTTTTTTTCTCCCAACGTAACAATTTTGTTTCTAAAGTCAATTCCTACTGTTGCTATAAAACTACCAGCTAAAAACGTTCCGTCTTTGAAACGCACAAGTAAACATGTTTTCCCTGTATGAAAAAAAAGTCAATCAATATTATATTCAATCAGTTTTATGCTTCACCTTAGACTTACCAACACCTGAATCTCCCAATAACATAACTTTGAACTGATTATGTATATCGTTCGATCCGTTGATGCTACTACTAGTTATACTATTCGGTAACGCTGTACCTTGTTGAGCTATGGATGTTGTCGTGTGCGATTGTGGATCTGTCGCACCTAGATCATTTTTATCAACTGTTGTGGTCGTTGTTGTTGTGTTTCTAGATGTTAATATTGGATCCTGATGAATTGGTCCAGTATAAACTGACCAAGTATTTTCACCGTACGCATTTGAATTTGCTATCGGATTCGATAAAGGATTTGACGGACTGGTATTAATTTTAAGATCTTGATTTTGCTGCATATTCATAACTTAAAAATTTTTGTTAATATATTAAACAGGTAAAACATTGTTAACTCTAGAATAAAAAAGATTAAAAAGCGATGAAATTCATTGAAAAATTCGCATCGATATCATTTAATATATTCAAAAATCAAAGTATAAATATAATTCTTTACACAACGCAGAATGTGATAAACAGTCGAATGGTTATCTTTTGTAAAGTATCTTCACGATCTGAACATATGTCTAATTCACGTTAAACGTAAGCCTTTATCTGTCTACCTCTGCTGAACTCATTTAAAAATTACCATCTGTGATGAATAGATTAGAAACGTCTTCTCTGTGATGAACAGTACTGTACGTGTTAAAAAATAAGTATCTTGAAATTTTCTTTCGAATATTCTATTATGAGTTATTTTTGTCAGGCACATTCTAGTTTTAATTTAATCCCTCCAGAAGTTGCATACTTATCCTCTCATTAGAATATAAATCTCTGAAGTGTTACTCGGCAGAAATTTTTATGACACGCGCATTACTTAATTATATTTAACGGCTGGCCCACCAAACATTACCCTCTTCCTGGGTCTTTATAACCTTTTTCTCTTACATTTGTAGAACTCACAATTATTTACAAAAAAGATGCAATTTGAAATTCTCTCCAAGAACCAAATGAAGTATTTTGTTACAAAATGATAAAGTAAATAATTACACGAAAAATATGCAGAAGTTTTAGAGTGATGAACTTTCTACCCTAACATATACCTTAATATCTAAAATATTGTTTATGAACGAGTTATGAGACTTTTACGCAATAGTGTAAAATGCTTGCACGAACACGATAACTAAAGTAAAACTGGTGTAAAAAAGAAAACAAATTTTCATTTAAGTAATTGATCTATGAAAATATTTTGATTGTAAATAACATATAGGACTTTTTAAGCATTACATAGATAACTCGATTTTTTTTATATATCTCAAACCGCAAAGAATTAGGATATAATATTGGAAAAAAACTCGATTTTAGATGAGAAAGTTCATCTCTCTGAAATTTCTTCATATTTTTCGTATAACTACTTACTTTTTTATTTTGTAATAAAATACTTCATTTGATTTTTGTAGATGTAAGGGAAAACAGTTATGGAAAGGGAAAAATGTTTGGTAGATCACCATTAGGCTACTAGTTATCCATATTTTTAAAAATATTTTAAATACAAATTCATTTAATTTTAATCTTTACTAACTAACATAAAACAGTGTTAACAATTTTCAAGAAAACATGGAATTGAATTTGTTTTCGATCGTACCTGCCAGACAATTTTTTGTCGAGATATAGATTTACAACTAAATTTATGACTATCTGGATATATAGATACAATAGCAATAATTGCTGCTCTATAGTGATACATTCAGAAAAAAAAGAGAGAAAAGAAGAAAGCAAAGGTATATATATATATAAAATTTTCTCTACTCTTCTTCTTTTGCGCTGGTTCTGGCGCACCTCTTGCAGTCTATTTGAACTTGTTTGAAATATCACTTAACATGACAAAGGAAGAAGAAGGAAAGGAAAACTATGAAACTCTCCATAAAGAAAAACAAGTTGTTCTTTCGATTTGGTTTTCAACAAAAAGCAAAAAAAAATAAGTGAAGAGAAAGAAAACGGAATCTGAATTAAATAAGGAAAATAATAATGATGATAAATGCATACTGTGTATGTGTGTGTGAGGGAGAGAGAGAGAGAGACAATTATAGTTGCAGAGTTTATCAAGGAAAGACATATGGATAATAACAAGAATAGAAAAAAAAAGAAGCATGATTACAACTTTTTCTCGCGTTATAGAAATTTAAAAAAAGAATGCCAGGAAAGTAAAAAATATGTGAAAGAATTCTATCATAGTAATCTTTATTTTTTTCTGAATAAGAAAATATTTCTTAATTGAACAATACTCTATGATGAGTAGTGAACATGCTTAGTTTTTTTTTTTCTGAAAAGTAGTTTTTTGTTTGTTTTTTTCACCCAGTATGAAACGAATAGAGAAAAAAATAATAAATTTTTTTCTTCCAATGTAGATAGACTCCCTCAATACTTTATGATCGAGTATGATGAAATGATTGCCTGCCACAATGTTTTAATGATGTTTTTTTCGTTTCCGTTTTTTTCTTTTGTATATGAATTCTGATTCAGATTATTTTTTAAACGAAAAAATGAAAATAACAGGATATGTAAGCGAAAGTGACACATTGGAAAAAGTTATATTGTGCTGCTATACGGATGATAAAAAAAAAAGAAAAGGACAAGCAAGATAAAGTCAAATACACATTCTTAATCAATTCTGTATAATTGTAAAAGTCCCTGAAGTGCCAATGACTAGTAGTTTATGTTGAAGTGATAAGTCTTTTCGAAGTACTGACAGTTGATTGAATACCTCGTAAACGGTGAAAAAATAAGAAAGAAGTCGATTCAATGACGAATGCGTCCATGATTAATGCAGAATTCAACAGACGTTCGCTCTCTTTTTTTTCTCTTTCTTCTTCTAACAATAGACTTAGATATTTTTCTAAAATTCTTTATCTGTCATTTGAATGACACTTATCATCTGTTTTCTTTTCTATCAAGTATTTATTGTATACATGTATGTATATACAAAACACTTTTCATTCTGATTTTTTGAAAACATTTACTATTTACATGTTAAGAATCTCTTACACTCTCAAAAACTTAACATTCGCTAACTAATATATTCTCTAAAATCTTTTTTTTCAGAAGAGAAGAAAAAAAATAGTTTTACACTAATTGATTAAATCAAAATGATGAATAGAAAACGATGTGTCAGTCAAAACGAACAGCGAACATTTATTTATGTTAACACTTTGTTTAAGTTTATACATAAATATTATGCAATAATTATTCGAATATACAAATAAAAAATTTAGAGAAAATTTCAGTGTAGAATTATATTCTTATTCATAAAATGAATAATTTCAACGATTCGATGAGAGAGCTATACAGTTCTCGAATCAATTTACGGAATACAGGATACTAGTAGCAGTTTGTTTTAAATGTTCAGAACTGTTTTAAATCGTACATCATCAATAAAATCATGAACTCAAACAAAATGACCTTCGTTTACACTTTCCATTAAGCTTTAACTTTCATAGATCAAATTATTTTTGGCAGTACTGTGAATGTGTTTAGAATAATCAAAAACAACTATAATGGGTTATTTTATTCATTCATCCATCCATCAACTGTATTGAAAAGATCAAAACGTGTTTCGACTATAAAAAGAGGTTTTTTCTGCTTTTGGTGGATGGATCTCATTCATTTATTTATTTATTCTCATTACTTCACCTCGAGGCTAGTTATCTTAATTTGTTGCTCTAGAATCATAAAAACGAGGCAAAAATCCATTCATTTCCGTTCGTTAAGAGAGACATCTTCATAGAGATAAATATACAAAATAATAAACTCGTTTTTTTTTTATCATCCTTCTTTCTTTTTCGATCCTTTGTCTACCGGTAATGTGTAGAAAAACTTTCAAGTGCAAAAATCATCATGTATTTTGTGCTATTATTCAGTATAATACTAGTTAACTATAAGTAGGACAGCCAAACTTTATTCAAAGCTACTGACGATAGTGTGTATGAGCTAAAAATAAATGCTGTTAGATGGACGGTTAATGTAGAACTGAAAAAAGGAAAAAAAAAGTGGTTGTGAGCGGATATGAAAATTAAAATGCATTTTTCAAATTTTTGACATTCTATTTCCGTAAAATATGCGTAAAAATGAAAATATTGTGTTGAAGTGCCATATTGCTACAGTTTTGTTGAATTCTTTAAATACAACATTTATTGAGAAGAAAACAAATCTATTTTATTGCGTTAAAACATGGAAAATATTATAGTTATTAAAAAAATACTAACTCTTCGTAAGAAACGACCGCTTCATTGTAAGATGCGGAGAATTCGAAAATTAAGTAGAAAAAAATGTTGCCTTTTTTGTCACAAATTTGATAGAGCTGGTCGAGTCATCTGGAAGAGTATCATTTTTAAGATTTTGAAAACGATTTTCATATAAAAAATGAAAATCGTTAAAATACTGAAATTTTCAAATCAGATTAAATTTAATGAAATTTCTGAAAATAATCAAAATTTCGATCTTTACTCTATAAAAAAAGATTAATATGGCAGAGCCTGCACATTCAGTTCCAGAAGGCAAAATTCTCACGAGCAGACCTGCACAGGTCTGCTCGTGACAGACCCCGGTAGACCCGCAGCAGACACTGCCACATACGTATGCTGCATTTTCTGCAGAAGTTTAAGCTGCGGGTCTACCAGGGTCTATCACAAGCAGACTTGCACAGGTCTGCTCGTGAGAATTTTGCCTGCTGGAACTGAATGTGCAGGCTCTGCCATATTAATCTTTTTTTATAGGATATGAACCTTTTTAATTTTCAAAGCCACTTTATCGATTCTCCATGTTAAATTGAGTATAGAAAACTGAACTTAATAAAATTAACATAAAAAATTATCAAAAAATTCGGCAAACACGAGCACAACTGGTGAAAAGTCCACCTTGTACCGTTCATTTAAACCAACATACCTATGAGAAAAGAATTACAGAATCGTTTTAGATCATTTTTTCCATAAAAGGCTCGACTGAGAAATTCTTAAGCTCCCCTCTTCCCGTCAATAAAAGTCGATATTGAGCTAAGTATGTCATCAGATAGCCCACAGTATTTATTATCAGTATCCAATGTTATTTGACCCTCATCGAAGGGTTATGGAGGTTTTTAGAAAACTTTTCTGAAAATCTTGAAAAACTGACTTTTCGAAAAAGTTTTACTTTCGATTAAAAAGTCAATCGAAAGCTACTTTTAGTAATACCAGGAAATAGAGCAAACCTTTATGATCAAAATGAGATATCTCCCAGCTCTGAATGATGTTCTAATCAAGAGTTATGAGAGTTTTACTGGAAGCCCTAAAACTTGTATCAGATACTGGCGCACTCATGTCTCGAAAGCGACTTTCATCATAACACCATTTCGTAGCTTCAAGCTTTCTCGGTAACAAAACAGAGCAGGAAGCTCGGGAAGGTCTTAAATTGTAGCTGACACATGTAGTTAGAGGCTAATAGAGCCTAGTTTTTGATATTCGGTCTAGATTTCTGATTAGAATAACATCTTTACAAGAGTTAATAACACTTTTTCGAATTTTGACTTTTGATGCGGATCATTAATTTGAAAAGAAAAATATCAAAAATCCGGCTCTATTAGCCGCTAGCCAGATGTATTTTCGTCAATTTAAGATCACCCCGAGCTCTACACAAACGTCTCGTAACTGAGAAATCTTGATTGCGAAATTCTGATTAAAATGAGACATCTCCCAGCGCTACACGATCTTTTATTATAGAATTCACAAGAAAAGTCCTAAATTCATCTTTCCTTCTCCTCTCTGTAGCTCTAAGGTGACAATAAACATTTAGGGCGTTTCTTGTAAATTCTATAACTTTGCAAAGAAAGGTCGTGCAGAGCTGGGAGACGTCGTATTTTAATCAGAATTTCGCGGGCTACAGCCGTGAGTTATTTAGAAAAACTCCTGAGGATTTTTCGAGATTTCTGGAAAACCAGTTTTCCAGAAACAGGTTAGGAAAGGCCTATGGGGAAAAACGGCTCTTATATTCGGAATCAGCATGGATCATTTCTAAAAATTTCATTAAATTTAATCTGATTTGAAAATTTCAGTATTTTAACATTTTTTTATATGGAAATCGTTTTCAAAACCTTAAAAATGCTACTTTTCTATGTAACTCGACCAGCTCTATCAAATTTGTGACAAAAAAAGGGGAACATTTTTTTCTACTTAATTTTCGAATTCTCCGCATCTTAGTACATTTCTTTTAACACATTGCGTTATCTAAGAAGAAAAGGTAATTTAATATTGATAACTAATATGGGCAAAAAGAGAATGCACATAATTAGTTTTAAAGTATCTCGAGTTACAGAAGAGATTACGACCTGAAGTTTTTGCCAATTGAAAGTCAATACCTAACATCATCTTTTCTCAAATAAAATGATCTGGAAAGTTGCTGAGTAAGGAAGATTTTTCAGAAGACCTTTAGATACCATCTTGTAGCTCATCAACTGGAGGCAGTCAGAGATTCATTTTTTCATATGAGTGAATTACCAATACCCCTCTCTTCAAAATGAAATTTTAGCGAGACCTTCATTTTCGGTAGTTTCTGCGTGGCGAGAGATTTCCATAGGGCACAAGACAGGGAGTGTTCTTAATGGTGAACTACTAGATATGGATGGAACATTGGTTATCATTACCGTCGAGTCCCGTGGCATCGTGTTCTTTCAGAACTATTGGAAATCAAAATCCTATGTAAAAGAAATTTATACTATTCACGTTTCAAAAGCAGCTTTCATTATTACTATTTCTGCGTACAATGTTTCAGTTGTTATCCTGAAAGAAACTGTATAATTTTCTGCCATGATGTATGCTAGCCCAATGTTCGCTAGTCTGGCTTATTAGTTCTTTAACTTGTTTCTAATGGACGTTAGACATTAGATTTATTTTCCCAAGTATGCCTGACATAAAGGCGACTGTGAAAGAAAAACACTTATTGTAATACTGTTCATTAGTGGTTGTGCATTTATCAAGCAAGCAAGATGAGAATGTGCTCCACTGTGCTCAGTCATGAATTCTAACTGTGTATATACAACGGACGAGAAGTCCTGTAATTTGAAATCCCGTTTGGAAAAAGATGGGGGCGATTATATGATGAAATCGGTCCATGCCTGAATTCCATTGACTAATCAAATGCTAGATGTAGAATGAAGAGGAGAGTATTTCTAGGTATTTACTAGACCTTATAACCACTCTCAGATAAAAATTGGATGAATCAAATTTAATTAAATTTCTGCTCCATCTGATATATATTATAGATCGTATTTTTGGATCTTTCTCTCTCAGTTTCACAATTTCTCATGACTATCATATATCATTCGAAAGCTCTTTTTCTTCGCTATAATTCTGTATATCACATGTACAAAAATAGTAGTTCTGAGGTCAAATATATTTAGATATATTTAAGGCCATAGAAAATGATCTCCTACATACAAAAAGTCTCAGATATTCTATGTCAACATTTCTCATCCGGCCACTACAATAAATATACCGTTCCACAGAGAATTTGTCGAGCTACAATTTCATATATATAATATAGAGAAAAAAGTGTCCTTGGACACCTTAACATTAGAAATGTTTCTGTAAAGCCGTGACTATCCTATGTCAACATTTCTCATTACTACGGTAAATGTACCATTTGGAAATGTCTCATAACGTGTTATATAAACAGAACTAAAAGAAATCTGTCTACTAATTGGTGTACAAGTTGACCTGTATAATAAAAATAGCTTTTCAAGTTTTCAAACAATGTGCCGATGAGGGCTGAGCAAGACGGAAATTTTATCCTCAAAGCAGCCACAATTCATCCACCACTAATTACTCTAATTCAGTAACACATTTTGCAGAATGTTGCCAAAACCAACAGAATTTTGCTAAATGCTCGAGTATATCACCGACAAAAAAATAAAGTTCGTGTACGTATCATTCAAAACAATCACAAATTAAATTTGAATGAGCCATGTATATTGGCATACGAGAGAAATGAAATTAAAAGGTTAACAAAAGAGACACTAATGACGCACGAACAAAAAAAGTTAGCCTACAATCAGTTCGACAAGTTCTATCTAACCATGTGTAAATTGTCGAGAAAAAAGTAGTATGGAAGGTTTGAATTACGGGCGCCTTATATATTTTTCTATTTTTCTGTTTACTTTTTATCCTTCTATCTAGGATATATAACCATCTCTTTCTTCGAAATTCAACAGTCATATTAGTCTGACGATTATACGGTGAAATATTGAAAGCTCGCTTTTTATGTAAAATGATTTTACTGAAAAGTTTTTCAATTATATTAAATATACTTAGTTTTATGAAAAGAAACGTGAAAAGCCAAAAAAAAATGTCAATATACGCCACTACTTTTCAGAAAATCCTAAAAAGCTTTCAAAAACTCCTGGTTTTCTAGAGATCTCTTAGAAAATCGACGGATGAAACTTTTGTAACTTTACCATAGGATAGAGCATAGCTGAAAACCTAAGTACTTTTGATACATAATTAATACTTTATGATTGTTTTGTAATATACGTTCACGTGTTCAAGCCAAAAATACACACTGTACAGTAGCATGGTGGTGATATGTACCCAGAGACTGAACCATTCACCATTATCTATTGAAAAAAATCATAAAAAATCGACACTTTTTAGAAAACAAAAAAAACATGTAAAAAATCATCTATCAACATGTAACAAAATTATCATCTACAGGTTATTACAAAATATATACAAAATGGAAAAAATTTGTCAAAAAAACCGTTAATAGAACAAAACACACACATACGTATGTCAAATATGTTGATTTGAAGTCATATGATTATCAACGTTTTGTAGCACATTGGATAATTGAGATTTTTCATAGGCAACAAGTGAACTCAATTGACGTACTTCTTGTTCAAGCTAGAGTAAACAACAAGAGAACAATAAAAACAAATGACAATGAATAAATATTTGTAACGTTTACATTATGGGTATTGTTTTGGTCAGATGCACTTTGTACATTAGCTAATTGAACTTTCAATCGTCTAAAAATATAATAATTAAAAGCAAAAGTTTCTTGACTGCATCTTTTCAATTGCTTGCTTGCTACATGATCAAATATTTTTGCAAAAGCTCTCAATCAATTTTTCTGCCCCGAAAGTTGATATTTTTTCCAATAACATCGACATTTAGCTATGCTGTACTGTAAAACATTTAATCGGCTTACTTTAGTTTTTCCTTGTTTTGTAAATAAAGTTCAAGACGTTCTTTAATTTGTAAGAGATTTTTTTTCTCATTTGTTTTAAACGACGTTGTAATATCAGGTGTCTTTTTACGATGTGTATAAGATGTAAATTCGTATTTACTATTTGTTGTCGGTTGAACAGAATATGGTCGATGTAATTGTTGCTGTTGTAATGTTTTTCTTGTTGGCGCTGTTGGACGAGAAGATATTGGTTCATCATCATTATGCAAATGATTTAGTTCAAACGCAGATGGTGGTAGGAGAAGAACATCGGATAATGACGAATGACGTTGATGAGGATCAAAATCTAATAAACGAGCCGATGTTATTGTATTATTATTTTCACTGGATTTTGGTTGTTTAAATGTGACAAATGGTGAATGAACAGAATGTGGAAGAGATACATGTTGTTGATCATTTATATTTGTCGACGACGATAAAACTTGTCTCAATGGTGATTGAAAATTGTCTTGACTACTACGAAAAAAAAACCGACAAATAGTTTATATGTATTATAGTGACAAATCTTTACATACTTTTTTGATATTATTTTTATTGGACTATGTGCGGTAGTAGTGGCGGTGGTAATTGTTTCTACAGTATGAAATGATTCTGATAAAAATGGGGGCTTTCGCGGTCTAGGTCGATTGACAATCCTGTTAAAGAACAATTATTAGAGATACTTTAACAAACATACTACGACAGATAATCATACTTTGGGGGACTGTTATCAAATCGAACGAGCGCTAAAGCTGTTTTAGCTGTCGTCGTTGTATGATGTTTATTAATGTGACTAATATTTAAGGAATAAGTAATATGTTTTCGTTTTACAGCATCTTTTACATAATTTTTCCATTTAGAATAATATTTCCATGCCAATGCATTACGATCATGATAAAGCTAGAACAAAAGCCATCACTTTGTACAAAAATACTCTACTATAATCTTCCTAAATGTTCACTTACAAAAACTTGTTTATGAATAAAGTTTGCTTGTCGTCTCTGTCTTGTATGATCAGTATAAATAAGAAATTTTCTTAGTGAGTCACGTATCAATTCTTCATAACGAATTCGCGTTGCTTGAACATATCGATCTTTCTTACGTTTACGTTCATTGACATACAACAACCATTGAACAAAAAACTATACAAACGAAAAAAATCACTTATTTGGTATACCACCTCACTCTCTCTAAATTCTTACTCGTTTCTGTAGTTGAATCGACCAAAATAAGAGTGCATTTTGTTTTTTTTGTTCCATTAATCGTTCGTTGTTATATAAATATTTCCATTGATAATAATATCGACCTGTTAAACGCATACGATCAAACCATAATGCTTGACGCTCCAGTAACTAAAACAATAAAAAAAACAAAATGTACCATAACAGTGTTCCATTAGTGGCTTTAAGTCTTACTTTCAAACGCATATCAGAATTATGTTGTTCTTTCCATTGTTGAAAATATCGTGCAAGAATTTTCTTTACATTATGTGTTTGTGCTCGATTCGAAAATAGTCTCTCACGAAGATGTTCATCGCGTAGTTGTTTCCAATGAGTATAAACTTGATACATTCGACCTTGAAAGAAAAATAACGAACCATAAACATTTTCAAGTAAAATTAATAGAATAATTTCTTACGTAAATTTTGTTGATATAAATATTCATGAAGTTTCGTTTCATTATCCGTATCTTTGACAATTTGATTAATAATTTCTCTATTCCATGCCAATAGTATCTTTGTATAGAAAACAAATTGATATTATCATATTCATTTTTCGATATATTACATACTTTTCGTTTTAACAATCGATTATAATGATCAATAGCTAAATTAATTTGTTCACGTTCAAAATGTTCATCATCAACATTCATCTTCCATAAACGAAATATATATCGAATATTTTCTCGTTGACATCGTTGAAATTTTTCATTAACAATTAACATTCTTTGTTTACGTATAAAAGTTATTTGTTTCCAATAATCATAAATTTCTCGTCCTTTATGTTCGAGATAAAATTGATTTGCTTGTACATATTTTTGTTTCATATAGCGACAATGAATAATATACTAAATGATACGATCAAATATATCTATTTTTTGACTTATTTGAATTAAATTAAAAAGACATACCAATTTCCATGAATCGAGTACTTGTCGTTCAATTGTATGATAATAAAATTGAATTGCTATTCGTTCTAAACGTTGTTCATTGTGTACTTCTTCAATAATAGCACGCCATTTTACCCATGCAGAACGAATAAGATATTTAAAATAGTATCTTTCAGCTACAACCTGAATATAAAAAAAAAATTTAAAATTACCTTTTTAACAGTAAAAGTTTTTACCTCATGTTGATTCTCAATTAATTTCACTTGAGCTCTATATAACCACGTACGAAAATAATTCGAACGCATTGTTTTCTCTTGATGAATGATTGCCTTTAGAAAAGAAACAAGATTTTATTATCATATTATATATCAGACGTTGAATATGGATTTCGTTTTTATAAATAACATCCAAAACTTACATACCAGTCTCCAATTTAATCGAAACCATTGATGTGTTTGAGTTGTTTGAGACCAATGATTATAATATAACTTTAATCGACGATTTCTAAAAGGAAATGTACAATATTTCAATTTAAGATGTCATTGAACGTTTCTTGTATGCGGCCATTCCACGTAAGAGTTTATCCGAGTGAGCAAAATCGAAAGCTTTTATTCAGTTACAAAGCTCCATGCTTTGTACATGGATCGATAGACCTCAATGAGATAGTAAATATCCTAAAAGGATTTTCCCTCATGGCTCTTGAAGACCCGGTTTTCTGGAAAGTCAGTTTTTCAATAAAAAATAGTCAAAGCTTTGTCTTAATGAGGCATAATTGTAGTCCGCACATTTTTTATTAAAATGAGACGTCTATCAGCTCTACATGACCTTTCTTTGCAAAGTTATAGAATTTACAAGAAAAGCTCTAAATTAATTTTTTCTTATTTCTGTAGCTTTGAGCTGACAATGAATATTTAGGGCTTCTCTTGTAAATTCTATAACTTTGCAAAGAAAGGTCATCTGGGGGACGTCTCATCTTAATCAGAAATGTGCGGGCTACAATTATGCCTCATTAAGAAAAGGTTTTGGCTATTTTTTTTATTGAGATTCGAAGGTGATGCAGTTCAGCCAAAAAAGTACAAAAAACGTGTAAGTCCGTTACGTTTTTTGCTTTGAAGATTTCTCGATGACCAAGCGCTGCTTTTTCCTCCGGTTTTCACTATAGGGAAGTTCGAAGTCCGAGCTGCAAAATCAGATATTATAATCCCATCGTGAGTGTAGATAATCGCTGAAGTTTTTACTTTTCGCGGATACTTCAAAGTTCACTTCTATTTTTTCTAAGTCCGTTACGCTAGGCATTTCGTCTCGCTTGCCGTAGCGTTCCAACGAAATCTATCCTTTTTTTCAACGTTGGTAGAGCTAAGTGTCTTGTACAATTCTGTAGTAGAAGCAAGCTCTTAAGTCCTTTTGCCTTTGAAGAAAACATCACGGACAGACAAAAAGAGTAAATCCGTTACATCTGAAATGGTCGTATGTACCTGTAATGATTAATAGCTTTTGTTTCAAGTAATTGTTCATATCTTTCTGCATTTATATTTGATCGTAATATTATAAAATATCTTCTTATCAGTTTAGAATTATGATAATTAATAGCCGCTTTCATTCGAGACTAAAACAAAAATATTACATACTGTTTACGAGCAAAAAATCAAGCTAACCTGTTCTTTTTTACAATAAGTTATATATCGACGCCACAAAAACCAATAGCGAATAGTAATTTTCATTGAATAGAAAGCTTCAGCTTTACGAAAATCACCTAATCTTAATAAATCTTCTCGTCGTTCAAGTCTATATTTCCATTCATTGTAATAAACACGTTCAAGCTAGAAGATAAATATCATATCATTTTTGAAAATATTCCCTAGAAATTGAATATAGAGAAATCTGAAATACTTTTATTATAGACGATAATATCCGATTTGTTTCTAATGTTTTAGCAGATTAGTTGTAAAACAGACAATCAAGATGAAATAAGCGATTATAATTGCAGCTGTTTTTAAATTTTTAATCATATTTATTTTTTTGTGATATTTCGACTTTAAACGACCATTCTCAAACAATTCTTTTCGTCATGTAAGAATGAAAAGGATAAAAAAGTCTAACATCGGTTACTTTTTTGCTATTGTTGTTAGATTCTTGTTTGAGAATGGCTGTCTAAGGTCGAAATATCACAAAAGAATAAATATGATTAAAAATTTCAAAACAGCTGCAATTATAATCGCTTATTGTCAAAAATCATTGCCCTTATACTCAGAAAATGTTAAAAATGAAATATATGCAAAGCATAGCAAACAATAGAAAAAATATTTTTCTCCTTAAGTTGCGATCTTGTTGAAAACGTACACTGTAAGCAAGATCAAAACTGAAGACAAAAAATGTATAGTATTATATTAGTAAATGATCTAAGATAGGGGGACTCTTACGACTGTAATATTATTTTAGACATGGAACAACTTACGGATCTTGCACGCTGTTTCATTGCTAACCAATTCAGACGTGATTTCATTCGACGTTTCTCAACATAATAACGTAACTGTTTAAATGATTCATGCTAAAAATAAAGAAATGAAAAAAAATGTCAGCATTTTTTATTAAATATTTGTTCTTACTACTAGTCGTCGTTGATAATACTGTTCAGCCATTTTTAATGTTTCTTTTTCTTCAGCTAATCCGAGAAGATCTATTGTATTAGATAAATAAGATTTATTCAATGATATGCTTTGTATGATTTCGACCTACGTGTTTTCCAATTGTTAAGTGCCCAACGTAGCAAAATTTTTCTCTGTAATTCATTTAAACGTTGCTGATTTTGATTTACCGTTAAATGTCGCACATAACATTGTCGCCAATTGGAATAATATTTTTCCACAAGATGATGTTGATAATATTTATATACACGATCTGAAATAAAACAAAAAACAAACAAGACAAATTGATATCTTGTTATGAAACAAAAGAAAAGGTTGAGGAAATAAAAAAATGTTTTACTTTTATGTGTATTTTTTCGTTTTCTATAATCAGCATATGTTAGCCAGGCATGAAAACAAACACGCTGTAATTGTTGACGATAATGACGATTAGCAAATAAATATTGTTGAGAATCTTTAAGTTTTCGAGATGTTTGAGTATGCCACAAATTATAGAACTAGAAAATGACAAGAATAGTAGAAAACTAACACTATAGTTCTAAATATATACTCGAGAAAGAATAAGATTTTTATAACGTTGATCAGCAATAGATAGATTTTGAACATATACACGACGTTTGTTAAATTGAATTTTCCATATTGTCCATGTATTTCTGCAAAACATACAAATAGAATCATCATTTTTTCTAACATACGTATAACTTCAATTTACATACAATGTTCGACGACGATTAATACACTGCAGTGCTATTTGATTCTGTTGATTTTTCACACGTCTCTCACTAGTATAATTAATCCATAGTCGAAGACAATGTTGAACTAGTCTTTGATCAGCTAGAAAAAAAAATAAAAAAAATAGTTGTCTATTTTCAAGTAATATAGAAATGTTCTTACCAAAATGTTTTGCTCGTAAATATTTTTCTGCATCAATCGATTCGATGCTCGTATTTTGTTTCCATGTACGATAAAATAATGTCAATAAATGTAAATTATAATGATATTCAGCTCGAATCATTAAACGCCACTCTTTTCTTGTTTCCCACCATTCATCTTTCCATATATTAAAATATTTTCGCATTAAATATTCATTATAGTATTGTTTCATCGGTTTTAATAACGTGCCAAATATTTTCTTTTGCCATAGATGAGAAAATTTTCTTGCTAGTACTTGTTCACGTAAATCATTAATAGATTTTGGTATTTTATTAACATCTTTTATTGGTGATGGTAAACGTTGATGTTGTCTCGCATTCGATATTGGTATACGACTTTTTTTCACTACTATTTGCCGTTCTACAATAAAATAAAATAAAAATAGTAATCGTTCGATTTTCTTATGAATCTTCTGTTGAAATCTATCTTTACTACTTTTTACCTTTTTTAAGTGAATTCAATTGTTTACTAGCTTCATTAAATGTACTCGTGACTGTAACCATATTTCGTCGTAGATCATCTACTTTTGTTTTCATAAATTTATTTAAATCATCTAGAATAACATTTTTTGATTGACCAATTCCATTTGTTACAGTAGTAATTGTAAATGGTTTTTTTTCTCCTCTGATCTGTAAACCACGTGTCGTAGGTACATATTCAATTTGTTTATCTGATAATAAATTTTGAAAATGTGTATCACTCGTAATATGATCAATATTTGTCGTATTATTACGTAACGGTAGAGAATAAGAAGCGTTTGTTTTCGGTATTAATAGATGATCTTTATCTTCGTCTTTTGTATTATGTCCATTTTCAATGGCTAACTGTTGTGGATGAAGATGTGTTTTTGTTGTTAAGTGATAAGGTAATCTTGGCGATGTGATAGCGAATCGAACAGACTTTTTACGAGGTGTAATTGATAATACTCCACGAACACTTTGTGATTGAGGTTCAATCATTATACAGCCAGATCATGTTCTCTTTGTTGGAGAACAGATAATAGAACTAAATAAATAAAAGATGAAATTTGAGAATGATTTTGAAGTATGCGAGTTCTATTAGAAAAAAATAAAAAATTCGAATGTCAATGAAAAATGATTACAGCTTAGATGAGAAAAAAGACCCCACCGTTTACACAGCATTTTACTTCGCAACAATTTTTAACAAACATAAAAATAAAATATCACTGTAATTCCGACAGAAAAGTACACATAGTACAGGACAGAATTACGCATAATTAAAAGCGTAGATATGTTTTGTTTCCGACTGCTTTTTTACGATTTACTGTAAAAATATAAACAACGTGAATAAACAAATGCTATTTGATATAAAAGAAAAAGGATGAGTGAATCATAATGTCACCAGCGAGTTAAAAACAATTTTATGTTGATATTTTCTTTTAAGACACATTTTTATTCGTTATTCTAAGGTTGATCGAAATATTGATAGTTTCTATAATTCTTTGAGTTTTACGTTTAAAACTACATAATTAAAAATTCTTGTATTCGGGAGTATGTGATAAATTACAAGATCTTTACAAATCACCAGTATGCTGTCAACGATAAATAGTCTTTTTAATGTATGATCCATCGTGTCTGTAATCAAAAACCATATTAATAAAAAAGATATTTCACATTATAAAGGATAAACAGCAGACGAATTTAAAACAAACTTTGGACAGTTTTGTTGATACTCTCTTAATCTATTAAATTTTATTGTGAAATTCATATCTTTAATTTTTCTATAATGTATAAAGGATCATACAATGCATGTTTTGGATTGAACAAATTTATTGATAAGTACTGTTTAATATTGACAGCAACTTTTATGAAGTTCACGAATTTCGTTTTCGTTTATTAATTCATAAAATGCAGTACTTTCAAATGTATCATAATAAATATATAAATACTCGCGTTCATTAGATATATTTTATCCGCTATTATTTTCTAGCGGTTGTCGCATAGGCAGGGAATAACGTATTGCGCGTGATTTCTGCTATACCAAAAATTACTTTTGACCCAAAGATAGGAATAACATTCGCCATCTGAAATGAGTACTGAAAAACCACATAATCAACCTTTGCTCATATTTAATCGAAATTACTTTGCTCTTCTACTAACTCCGTACAAAAGATTGTTGGAAATATTTGTTGAACTAACGGCAGATACTTCAACAGATTAAATTCTTCACTCCATTGAACTCTTCTACCACTGCTACTTCCACCTAACCTACTGCACCAGAAACAGAAAGCCGACAGGCCTATAGAAGAACATAACATCGATGAAGTATTAACTAATTAAATGACATTTTCCTGAGAGCGGGATACAATATCATATAACTGAATATAAAAGACTGTTATTTTTAGGTCTACCGTTTTTTGTCTCCAGGATATAGTCGGAAATACATGTGACCAATAAAATTTCTTATCAAACGGTTGCTACGCGATATAAACTGAGAAGATCTTTATTGAGAAATCTTTTATTTTGGATTTTTTTAATTTCTTTATTTATATGCTACAAAGGGAATACAAGTGGTTAATGTACAATTTTAGGCGATGTCAAAACGATGAGGTCGCTTGTTATCGCTCGTGTTGGAGCTGCTAAAGTTTATTAAGACAAAGCAGATTTTTCATACCAAACATTTTTAATTTTTTTTGGGATAAACTTAAATCACCTTATGAATATTTCTTTAATATCGACTCGAATGAGTGAGCTTTCGATTAGACCGGAAGTATTTTATCAAATGAGCGCGTGATGGGCTAATTACATGGAATCGACTACTTTCTGTGCGATCGTCTTTTTAGAATTTCTGAAAAGCTTCGTGTTCAATAAAAAGGCATTCTAAGAACTCTCTTTCTAGAATGTTTTGTTAGTGATTGATCTGACGAGGAGTCTAGCATCTTACACGATCTAGTTCTGTATAGAAAACATCGTGTTCTATCAGTTTGGGTGCCATTGAGTATTATAAGAATTTGTACCAAACTATCTGCATGTTCTGCTAATGTGGAGCTGACACTATGACTGCAATTTTTGCTTTTAGAATAATAGGCTTCTTACGAATAAAAAGAGGGTTAGTAAAGAAATCTCAAGAAACAAAAATGTTTAGCGAATGTTTTATATAAGCTTATTCAAAAGAGATATAAAAAACAATAGGTAATGAAAAATTTAATTAACTTAACCCAGTTAGAATTTTTATTAAATAATTAACACTACAATTAAATTAAACGAAAAAAAGATAGCAAAAAATATATATGTAAGACATTGTAATCACTATTTATGAAATTTTGATAAAGCATATAGTCTTATAGAGGCGGAACATATGCCAAATACGCCAACTTGTACATAAGTAAGACTATTTGCCCACAAATAGCCTCTTGGTAAATAATGAACTGCAACCATAAATTCACTCCCATCACGAATTGTTGCTAATACAGCTTTTCTGGCTGCTGTCCAAGGTATGAAATTCTTTTTTCTAGAAAAACCAACGGTGAATTTTCTTTAGAGAAGAAGAGATATCAGAGAATTAAGATGGGCGAGGCGGACAATATCTTCTATACTAATTGCTGAATGATTTTATGTTTTGAGAAGTATATGAAGGAAGAAGCAAATTTTATGAAGTTCTGAGAATAGCAAAATGATACTGAGACTCACTTTTCTTCTTTCTTTTCTTTATCAAGTCTTTGTTGTGTATAATATTGAAGAACAATATAAGCATTCCTAAAAACCCACAAGAGGAAGAAATTATCTCACAGACTATTGTTAATAAATGCCGATAACGAACCATACTGCCGATGTGAAAAGTGCCGATGTCCAAAAGAAGTTTGTATAGAATAGCCATAGATTTACATCAACATTTAACATTTTTACTTCGCCTAGCCATGCTATGTGTTCACTTGGATAATAGCAAAGCCAAGATATATAATGAATACATTTTAAAAAACGAACAAGAAAATTTTTTTCCTAGAAAATAAAATAAAAAGCAATGTTGTTCCCAGTACAGTCATTTGTTTTAGTGCATATACCCATGGTCTCAATTCATAGGTGAACATATCTCGTATGATCGAAATATCATCGTATAGACGTAAAACGACACGACAATCATCGAGTCGTTTATAGATGCGCTGTAAACTTTTGTGTAATTTACTTTTATTCGGATAAAATCCACTAAGTAGACAACAAAAATAAAGTGTAAATGTGATCGCCGCGTCTCGACCTTCGTAGCAATCCAAAATATCACATGCTTTTGTCACGATCTGAGACATATATGGCTACTCCTCTCTAGAAATAAATATAACATGTTCAGAAATAAATAAAAAATACTTTTAATATATTGGAAATTATTAAGGGTACCCTACCCCCTCTTTTTTGAAAGTCATGCATTTTTGAAGTTTTTCCTTCAAAGCCTAAAAGAACTCAATTTTTTAGTTTTATAAACCTTTCTCTCCATTTCTGTACATTGAAAATCTTTTTTTACATCTAGTCTGATAGAAGAAAGTGTTTTCTTCACAACCAGATGCTTTTCAGAATTTCCCAATGAATTTTCGTGGAGATATAAGCATAGCCACAAATGTCTTGAAAAAAGTGACCTATGTACAAAATGCGCTTTTCTCGAAAACTATTTTCTTGCTACCTGGCTTTATTGTGTCGCATTACGATCCCCATGAAATTTCATCCAATCGAATTAAATATTTTACCCGAGATACTCAAGACACTATTTTTGAACTGTATTTTAGACCTTTCTTTACCAAGTTATAGGGTCATAACCTGAAACAATAAAAAACCGAGTTTTCTGGAAAACTCGTGAACGGTAACAGTTAAAAACTTGAAATAAAAACAAAAACATGCTCTACTGAGTTTCCAATCAGTTCTGATACTATAAAGATTTAATGAGTTTTAGTTTTTATTTCACAGCATTTCTACGGAAAGCCCAAACAGAGAGGAGCGGCATCCGTAAGATTGAGACGTATCACAATTCTTAATGATACATATTTAACTTTTAACCACGTTCAAGCGTTCATTTCTATCAATGATTATAGTTAAACACTGAAAATGATGATCATACAGGTTCGTAGCTACCGTAAAAGCTCATTAATAATATTAAAAAGAATTTACAACTAACTAACTTACATTGAAGAAAATGCTACGCAAACGTCAAAAAAAATCATGCCCTTACTAAGGAATTTCCTCGAAATCAGTATTATCATTGATTGACTTTGTATAAGTAAGCTGAAACATTTCTTAAATAAAAGATCTATAGATAATATTATCAAATATCAGCTCAAAACAGTCGTGAAAATGTCGTCATTATAAAAAAATTTCAAATGAAAATTTTTGACTTTTTACGTTTAGAAAATCCACACATATTGTTAATTTTGCTTTCGAGAAGAATTTGAGAAAAACCACAGTGCTCAAATATCTGAGAAACAAAAGTACTTACTCCCATATATATAGTTCGTTGAGAGTATATAGTTTCTTCAGTCTTCAATAAATTTTTAAATTCTCGACGAACACAAAAAGATGAGGAACACATAAAGGCAGATATCGAAATGAATGAAGTGTTAGGATATGCTATGAGGAAAGGTATGATATTCTATTCGGTCTCTTTTGTGTTACTTACACTTATACCGATATAAAATTATGAGAGTATCGGAATCTAAGTTTCTTAAACGGATGCTTGTGTGGTAAGCTTAATTTCTTTGAGAGCGCAAAATTGTCATCAAGTCGGAATCCAATATTATAGGAACTTTTAGTATGAAAAGTCTTGCCAAATCTATAATTTTACTAAATAGTTTTTTTGCGATATGATTGAAAAAAGTTCAAATTGCTGTGCAAGATTCACCAAGGATTTTCACAAACACATTTTAGATCTATTTCATAAGACTCATATTTCAATCTGGAATCCATATGAAAAATAAACTTTCAACAGAATTTAGAATCGTCTTTCTCATATCTAACCAAGAGTAGAAAAATTAAATGACCAGCTTTTCGAAATAAGAATTTAAAGATATGAGTAGGAAATCTATTCGGCTTTGACATCATTTTTTTCCAAAAATCTGAATGATACTGAGTTCAGACAAAATTTTCCCTAATGTAGACGACTGGAACGGCCAAACACACCTAAAAAACTATAGTTTTGCTTAAGTTCTTTTGGTAGCTACGAAAAACAAAAATGTCATTTCAAGTCGATACATAATTTAAATTACGTTTTTAATCTACAATCGTGATAAATTTTAAAAATCAAGGTATTTGTCTATGAAAGAAACAGAATAAGTGAGAATATACGCACCAATATGTACGGTACACAAAAGAGAATTCGTGATTGTTGAAAAATTCTTAACTTTATTGTGTACTTTCAGCCTAGACTATGATTGTTTTCGAGTACCAATGACATATGAGTTTCTTAGCTGTTTGTTATATTGTTTCCCTGTGGTTTTTCCTTGATAAGTTTTTTCACTTTGTGCTTTGTGCATGCGTAAAGGATAATTGTTTTTTCTTTTCTTCTTTAGTCGTGTTAGAATATCTACGGCACATTACATTTTTCGTTTTCGTGTGTTATTTGAAAGAATAATATTTAGAAGAATAAACGAATCACACATATTGTACATATCATTTTTGGTTTTGAAGTGATTTACGGCGTGAGAATAAACAATGGATGGTGGTAGTGAGACAATAGTGTTGTAAAAAATGTCTGACGTAAATCTTGTATAACAAGTAATTATAATAAACAGATATCTTGTTTAATATAAATTGAATGACTTCTTATATTATCTAGAGCAAAAAATGTAAGACTGGTTAAGAGTAACGTTGAATAGCATAAATTATTCTGGATGCTTTCTTATCTTTAAATGTGCTGAATCAATTGTTCTTGAAAAACTGAACAAATTGGGCTTTCTTGACTACTGTTACAAGCAAAAACTCCACTGCTTCTACTTGGCACAATTACCTTTATTGTTATTATATTTTTTTCTTTTACTTTAACTACATTTTTTTATTTTATTTTTCGCTGTAATGATATACAAAAGATTTTTCAAAAAAAATACTTGACATTCGGTTTTTTTGCTGTTCTGTTCTCTTCCCATTTATATGTCATACAATATAGCATGAAATGAAGTAGTATATCTGATTATGGGCGTGCGCATTAAGAACCCTCCAGCATCTTTTTTTTTATACACCATGCGACTGATTCAAACGAAATTGCCGGACTTCTAAGATCGTGATTGAAAAGTGAGTTATAAGTATCGCCAAGATCAAATCGAAACTGCTTCGTCTTGGACAGATCCAGACACTTGAATATAAAAACTAACAAGTGCCGAAATTGTCTTACTTCCACTGACTGATTCTTTGACCGACGCTGGACTATCAAATGACTGCTTCATATGATCGGAGCCGGGGACATTGTTGTTCAAAAAGGCAGTAAACAATTTTTATTCATTAATCACAATTATGAACAGCAACTGTTCTTGTCTTCTCGACCCATATCTCGATGCCTCTCGATTCGATATGTATTTAATAAGAGGATTCAAACTTGTCATGAGGAAGTAATCGGTAGTTTCTGGGACGAGTCATTAATGCGTTTCTGGCTTAAATGTCCAAAACCAAATATCCAAATCCGGAATGGAAACTAAGGTGCCATCCGTGATTTCGGTGACTTCGGAAGCCAATTTGAAGTTACCGAAGTCAGTATTTTTTTCCTCGAAAAGGGACAATAAAATATTTCCTTTGCAATCAATGTGGACATTCTAGAGTTGTTGAGTATTGACGAAAAGATATTTCGGAAAGGTCATAAACTGTACCTACGGGAATTTTCTTCAAAGAAAATCTTCATTAAATTTGTATTAGATCGACAAGTTGTCTGAGTTCATAATCTTCCTATATTTCTTATATTTATGATAATGGTCCTATACTGTCCTATATTTCAAGCATTTATCCTATGCTTCCTATATTTGGGGGAGAAAGCGGAATTATGCTGAAATGAGTTGTATTTGATCGTGAAAAGACACATGTGCTTTCCTACACACATTGTCACTCGTTTCCGCAAAGAACACGTAACCCATTGTACGCATTATTTCTTGACTGTTGTATTTGTATGACTAAAGGGCTCTTTTTGGAAGAGAATAATCAGTATAAAACCGCTACAAAGTACATGATAAGATTTTAATTAAAACTTTCACACATCATCATTAGTAAAATGAACATGAATAAAAGATAACTAATTATATAGTCTGTAAGTGTGAGTATTAGACAAAGAAAGGAACAATTTTGCCAGTGGGAACAACGTGCTAGTAAAAGAATCTATTGAGATTGCGCTAGATATGTTATATAAACCAAAGAAAATAGCTGATATATCCTTCAGTCGATAACAAATGAAAAGACTACTAGAATTAGCCGTTTGTGATGCATCATTTAGATTTATGAGTAATTATTATGTGCAATCTGATGGAGTAGCAATGGGTTTACCACTTGTACCAATACTTGCAGACCTATTTATGCCAAAACTCGAAACTAAGTTAAACAGATTTTCTACCAATAAACCATTATTATGGCTTCGATACGTGGATGATATATTTCGCATATTCACAACAGAATATTAACCATCTTTTATCCTTTGTGTGTTTTTTGTGAGGTAAACTTCATTGTATAGGCATTTTCATCGATCTGAACACATATTCATATTCAATTTAGTCGATGATCTGCACAGAGATAGCCTCCATGGTACTCTGGTGTTTTTTTTACCATATTAAACTTCAGTTTAGTGAAAAGAGAAGTCCTATATAAATTCTTTTTTCAAATTCTATATTTTCAGGAAGGGTCGGTACGAACTTGGTCGACAACAGAAGCGTGCAGAATAGAGTCACATGGGGGAATTATGATAATTCTAAACATACTCACTGGAAATTAATTAGAACTAATTAATGCTAACGAATTTTTGAAAAATTTTTACATCAGTCGATAGATCTCTCAACTGTGTAATATCGATTTCTCCGATAAAAAATGATTTAACTGTGCAAAAAATAATTGAGAAGTTTCAAGCAGTTATCGTAAATATCTCATATGACTCTATATACAAGATTTGAACCAGAATTTTAACAGAATCTGTCGCAGGTTGTTGCAAAATATTAAAAGATTTTGCACAGAACATTTACAGAGTTCAACAATTTGTTGAACTTTCAATTTTGAAGACTTTTTGATTTACTTTGATAAAAAATGAAAATTGCCTTTTGAAATTGCCCTTTGATGGAAACATGAAAAAGTTCTGATACACGTGCATACACCTATGTCTTAAAGTGTGAGTCATTCGATCAAGCATGTTTTCATATTTGACGTTTTAATCTATTTTTCTCTCTCAAAATGTACAATTCGATTACATGTTACACATTTAATGATTATAGACTCGTGCGGTGCCTGTTTTTTAGGTATGTGTAGTCGAGTGAGCGAAGAAGAAAGTATATGTGTATAGATAATTGTCATATGATTCTCTGAATTAGGTACTAATTATAACAGTTGGACGTTTTTTTTATTCAATTTGATGTAACGGGCAAATGTTATTTTAAAATTTAGTAATCACATAGAAATGAAGCTATCGTTCATACAAAAGAAAAAATTAGAAAGGAATAAGATTAACGATGTGTTAATTAGAATAAAATTTGTCAGAAAGTATAACGTTGTTTTTCTGTACAAATTACATCTTTTATGATATAAATGTTAAAATAATCATGTTTGAAAGAAAATGATGTTTTCTTGAAAATACAGATCGAGCATGATGTATAATTTTTATGTGTTTGAAACAGTGATTTACTTTCTCCTCTTTATTATTATTATTATTATTATTATTATTATTATTATGTATCTTAAATTTTGGTTTACTACAATGTTATTAAGGTAAAGTATAAGCTACAAATATGCTTAACGGGATTTCTTAATTGTCCTCAGTCATAAAAAATACGTGTTTCGTTTGAAAAGTAACTCTTTCTCATAGTCCCCACTACATTATTATTATGAAGACAAATTTTTGCTTGGTACGAACGGGCGCGTATCTTGAATGATAACCACGCATTAACAGGGAAGTTTTAGAGAATTAATATTCTCTAAGTGATACAATTTCTTTTTCTTCCGTTACTCTAACGACGCAATTAATGATTATTCATATTCTAGATCGTTGTCCGCTTATTATGTTCCCGATGATATAGGTAAGTTTTCTGATAGCAGTACAATCTTCATCATTCATTTAAATAATTTTAAATATTCAGATTCATTAACAAATACTAAGTCAACATGTGATTGTGAAAATGGTGGTACATGTATTTTGGGTGCATTTTGTGCATGTCCAGTGTAAGATTCAGTAACATCGCATTGCATTCACGAACCATTATCTTCTAGTAATCTGATATTTTTCTTTTGTTTCTATTTTAGTGCTTATACTGGTCGATATTGTGACACACCTGTATACACTAGTTGTGCTATATTCAAAGAATATGATATAATTGAAACGGATTGTGTGTTGTGTATTTGTATCAACAGTTTATTAGTCTGCGATGTTCTTCCATTCGGTTTATGTCGTAAGTATTGATATTTTCTTAATTTCTATCTATTTAACTTCAATATTCTATTTTAGGTCATAAACGTGATAATAATCAACATTTATATCGTACAAAACTAATTGAAATTGCACTAAATTCCATACAACAACGTTTTTCTCAAATTCGTTCATTTATTTCAGCAGAGAAAAAAAATGTTTTCTACAATGGACGAAAGATTGATTTATTCGGTTACGAAATTATCGTTTCGAACGCAAATAGTTTATCAAGATGTTCGATTTTATTTGTGATTTGTACTGTCATACATTCATTTTTATCATGAAAGATAGCTCGAAAATTGCATTTTTTGGTGGACAATCGACTAATTTAACGTGTAACATACCCACTGCTTCTGGTTCCAAGATCTGTCCGTTAATTTTAATCGTTTGAGGGAGTATACTAGACGAGGACATCGCTCTATTGTGCTTCATCAGTTCTACAATTTATACGGAAGTATCATCTTTTATCAAGTAGAAATCACTCAGGCACAACTAAAGGATATGAGAACGTAATTTCATCTGTAATGATTATCATTTACCCACTTTAACTACTTTCTTAATCGAAGTGTAGCTACGACTCTTCCCTATCTACGACATAAGTCAAGTTAATTGACTCTTATTGGTCACTGGAATACGACAATCATCTAAATATATAGAGAGATACTTTCTGGAATTCTTTAGTCAAATAGTGTTTCTAGACTCAATTGTACGTTTTTCTGAGCAGAAACTCGTATTTCAAAATTGACGGTCAATCATAAAACCACTATTTCAGTAACCATTCGGCAGCCAACTTATTAAATTCCTCCTAGATGAAAACTAAACTGTATATATCTCTCGCATCAGAAGTAATCACAATTTGGTAAAAAAAATGAAAACGTTGTAATTGACTAATTATGCAGTCCAAAAGGCTTAAACTTAAGACTGATCAGCATTTAGTGAAAGTTAGGATCACATAAAATGAAAAGTTATGAGCTTTCGCGATCCTTGAGACCCTAGGCGAAATTTATTTGGATTATACTGGAAAAACACAAAAGTTGTAATAAGTAAGAAACTATTCGTCTGATATTTGAGATAAGATTGTATCATCTTAGTTTTGTTGTTGTGCCTTTGTAATTAACAGTTAGCGGATGATGGTTCAAGATATCTATCTATCTATATACAATATCACATTTTACTTCTATACATATTAAAACATTGGATGATTAATGGATAAGCCACAAAAAGCAGACAAGAATCATTTCCTTTTTTTTCGGGCAGATCCCTATAATTAGGAGACTCCGTTCTAAGCTTATACGATACAGAATTTTTCGCTCTACAAGACTGTCGAGTCGAATTGTCGAACAAAAAATGATAATTAAAACATCAACAGATACTCAAGATTCCTACTGCGACATTCCGAAGCGTAAAAAGTCCAACGCAAAATACAAGCAAACTTTCCGCTAAAATTCCACATATATCATAAAATTCTGCGCTAAATTCTGCTTTTCTGGTGTATGCAGCGTAATTTTAAAGCAAAGTCTCGCGTAGGAATTCTCACGTAAAAAAGAGTCCTTAGCGCGAAAATATTCAACTTTCTCCCTATTGATCGATTCTTACAAAGAAATCTGATAAGAAACTTATAAGGATTCACTACGACTCGTATAAGAATCTTATCAGATTCTTATTGAATCCTTACATAAGAAGTCCGCACGAAAGTGATAAGAATTTGATAAAAAGCAGATAAGGATCAGTTAAGAATCCTGTAAGAATTCGACAAGAAAAGGGCAAGAACTGGCAAAAACTTCCAGTGTTTTTTTTTCTTCTTTAGTTAGCTGTATAGTTTATTAGTGAGTGTGTAAGAGGTCGCGAGACATTTTCAAAATGATCAGTCTTACCTACCTTGAAGAAACTTTGAAAAAAATTTCAAGAAATCAGTGGTGCTTATATAATATGTGCTTCTGCAAAATAAAACGGTCACTGGCTTTTAGTAAGAATTTCATAAGAAAGTGATAAAGAAACGTCTTATAAGGTCATAGCTCATTCTTATTTAGATCTTACCTGATTCTCGTCGGATTCGTACGAAATTCTTGCCATTTTCGTGCGGACTTCTTATGTAAGAATCCGATAGGACTCGGTTATCCGAGTCCTTACCGGAGATTCTTACCGGAAATAACGAAAAATGTTTGTCTAGGGCTGTTCCGATTTCTGGCTTTGTGCATTTATCAACGAATATCCTCTGAAAAATTTTTGTGGTATAACTCACTAATCATGTAGACCTGTTCAGAATTAAATCCTCTCTTTGGAAATGCCAGAATAAAAAAAATTGAAACTAAGTTTCTATCCAAACGTTTGAAACGTCTTAATTACAGGTCAGCTCGATAGAAGACAAAATTCTCTATAGTTTGATCTGAAAGAAGTTGCTCTTGAGATCAGTTTGATGAGCGGAAACATTTTTTTGAAGAAGGAGAATAAGCCCGTTGCTGTAGGAACATTGAGCATGTGTTGATATTCTAAATATTACTCCGGAGGAAATCTTTTATTCCACAATCCAACTTGATAATTTTGTAGAAAATATGATAATTCTCCCGAAGGAAAGGAAATGATTTTGGTCCGTTTTTTACCACTAACCGTTACAATTAAATCTAAGTGTTTCAGAAAGGGCTATGCCATAGCATCTTATCGTAATGGCTGTTATTAACAGCCGCTGCTGCATCCGAATTTTCTTCGTTGACGTCAATAAATGAACTAGTTGCGATGGGAATGATTCTTAACTGGGCTGAGTTTATAATTAAAAATTCATGATCCAATATTCGCATATACGTCTATAAATTTTTATTGAAATTTTTTTAACAGTTTTTATATTGCGAAGTTTTACCTTTATGGCATTTAGTACAATGTAATGTTCTCTGTTATTTACATGAACATCTGTTATGTATCACAAATGCCAGCACATTTAAATGCGTCAAAAGGGCGGAAATCAGTATACAACTGACAAGCCTGTACAAATGTACGATGAGACAAAGTAGCAACATTCAGGGCATGAAGTTTAACAAAACAGAAACTAATACGATCATAAACAGTTTCTGATTGATATAAATCCTTACTTAAACCGTGTGCTGTTGCTACAAACGGTTAATATACATTAAACGGTATCCGATGATTCTGTACATGATGCAGTTTCTCATTCATTTGCTGATGGACAAGCTATCAACAATTGTCACAAACATAGATAAAAAAGAAAAACATTATCTTATTACTGCTGAAAAACAATTACATAAATATAACACAAATATACATAAACGATGAACAACTTATCAAATAAATGAGATATTTGAAATAAAAATATCAAACATAGATCGACAAATACTTCATCAACAGTTACTTCATTACCCAAGCATAAAAAAAATATCTAGTATCGCCGGATTCATCAAGATTACTAGATTTTTACTCGATTGCAACTATTGGGTAATGTCCGTGAAAATCTAGTAATCAGGCGATTGCTAGATTTCTTCTAGTTACAACTATCGATTTATCGACCGATAATCGATCGATTTAACTATTGCTAGTAGCACATGCAGACGCATCTAGTTAAAAGTCCCTTTTCCAACTAGTAATCTAGATGACAACTAGTAGTCATCCCATCCGATTACAGATAAAATGTATCTAGATTTTTCCTATAGGTGATTTTTGCTTGGGTACCTTGTAAAATAACTAACGTATGTCAATAAGATGATTCTGATATGAATTTATATGAAATAGCAAATAAATTAAAAATTAATATCAATCAGAAACTGTTTATGATCGTATTAGTTTCTGTTTTGTTGAACTTTGTGCCTTGAATGTTGCTACTTTGTCTCACATTCCATTTGTACAGGCTTGTCAGTTGTATACTGATTTCGTCTAGCCCAGTATATCAGTTTATATTGGAATGGCGACTAAAAATTTCAGGGTGACTTTTGACCCACCAACGGGATATATGTAGGTTTGTAGAGAAAGACTTCTTCTATCTAGCGGTGCATATATTATCAAATTCTGTTGCGTACCGTGAGAGAAAATTAAAGGTAATCCCTCTTTTTTTCGACTTGTTTAGAAATATTTTTGAGTTAGATATTATGCATTCTAGAGTAAAGTGTCCTCTACAAAATAAGATCGCTCCCAGCTCTCCAAGGCCTTCCGTTGAAGAGATACGAATTTTTTTAAAGTTTCTTACTTTACTCTGAAAAAGCCCTGGTTTTTTACTTTCGAAGCTTTTTTCTCTTTCATTCAGTACTTGAAGAGCTGGCATACATCTCATTTTTCAGAGTAAAGTAAGAAACTTTAAAAAAATTCGTATCTCTTCAACGGAAGGCCTTGGAGAGCTGGG